CATGACGCGTTTGATTGACGATTACTGTTATGCAGGTTCATTGTGATTGCGGCAACCGAAAAATATGTTGGACGTTTTGGCATGCAAGTGCTTAACGTCCGCTATTTGTGAAATAGAGAGGTGCTTTAAAACGAGATTAAAATATGTTCTAATCACTCAAATGTTTATCATTTCAGTCAAAAGGGTATTTTTTTTTACTAAAATGAAGTATTAAATAATCTACGTATAACAGGAGAAAAATATCTATTTTACATCCGTCGGAGGCTTCAAAAAGCTATGACCATTTCATTATCTCGAGCTTTGAAAATATCTGTTGGTGTGGGGTGGAAGCGAAACGGCATAATTGAAAAAATAATTTTCACCCTTTTCACTTTTTACGCAGCAGAGCAAGAACCTTGATTAATACTATTGCTTTAGCAATTTGAAACTAAAACACGTATTCTATGACTGATAGCATAAGGAATTAAAATTGGTTTATATAATTGTTTTTGTTTATGTAGTTGCGGATACTGTCTGTTTGGCTCACGGCGATGTTAGGTACGACACTTTCGATCACAAAACCTTTACGTACAACTCTCCTGTTGATCAATACGGCGTAATGTTCTTGCCCTGGAAAGGTAACCGCACGTGGGTGCTAACGGAGCATGAGTTACGTAAACCAGGTGACGTGGCCACACGCATCAAAGAAGTATACGTGAAGTTTCCAACTGATCTTTACTTCAGAGCTACATTGGGGTCGGATGTCGACTTGTTTGTGAGTCTTCTTTCTAATAATATTGAATACAGCGAACACTTTTTGGAGCTAGCAATTTTCTACGTTCCTGATTCCACCTCTCTCTCTCTCTTTCTCTCTCTCTCTCTCTTTATCTCTCTCTCTCTCTCTCTCTCGCGTCAGAATTCTAAGCAAAACAATCCAGAGCCGTGGTCATTGTTATCTCTGTTCTACATTTGTAATCGAAATGTTCACAACAGATAAGTCATTGTGTTATGCTAATATTTCTTGCATTTCGCTTACAGGTTTGGTTTGGCGGTGCATGGTTTCCCATAAGTATCCCAGACTTACCAAAAATGTATTCCTCTTNTTTTAAATTACTGAACTTCATACGTCCTATCCATACTATTTTTGTTTTATCTTTGTTTATTTTCAACCCTGATATTTTTGAAAATTTCTCTAATTCAATCATAAGTTCGGATAAAGACTTTTCTGAGCCATCAAGCATCACAGTCGTATCGTCTGCGTATTGGGTTAATAAAATGGGGGCGTCATCAATAGTGATACTTTTTATATTTTTGTTATTCTTAAGTATTATTGAGAGTATTTCTGCGCATAAAATAAACAAATAGGGGGCTATTGGGTCTCCCTGCCTGCAACCTCTTTTAATGTAAAAGGACTCTGAGAGATTGCCTCCTTGATTTATTGCTGCTTGTGCACCCTTATTAAAAATATTTATCCATTTAATAATACTTTCACCAAAATTAAAAAAAACTAGTACCCTGTCAATAAATTTCCACGACACAGCGTCAAAGGCCTTTTCGAAATCTAATAGCACTAACATTCCAGGAATATCGTTATCTTCTGTGTATTGCATAATATCGTATACAGTACGGATACTTTCCCCGATGTATCTCCCGGATATGAAACCGCATTGATCGTCTGAAATAAGTTTGCCCAGGTATTTCTTGACTCTGGATGCTATGACTCCGGAGGCTATTTTATAGGTAACGTTTAACAAAGAGATCGGTCTCCAGTTTTTCAAGTATTGCTTGGGCTTTTCACCCTTAGGGAGACACGTAATTACACTTTGTCGCTGTGTAATTGAAAGCTGGCCAGTCGAGTAACCCCAGTTTATGGATCTAACAACAAAATTGCCGAGCTGTGACCAGAATACCTTGAAGAATTCGACAGTGAACCCATCCGAGCCTGGACTCTTATTACTTTTCATTTTTTTCAGAATTTGGGAGGCTTCATTTAGACTAATTATACCCTCTAGTTCACTTGACTCAACGTCTGTGAGCCTCAATGGATAATTGTGCGGTAAAATTGTGCTTAAGTCAACATCAATCACTTCATTAGACTCTGCAAATAACTGTTCGTAGTAGCATTTAATTTCTTTTAAAATTAATGTTTGGGTAGTAATTTCTTCTCCGTTATCTTTAACTATCTTGGGTATTATTTTTGAAGTGAAATTTCGGTTTTCTAGGTTTAAAAAATATTCAGTGGGTTTTTCACCCTCTTCCAGCCACTTTGTCCTGGATCTTATCATACTACCCCTTATTTTATTTTCCCTGATGTATTTTAGTTCCTCTTGTAATCTCTCTATATTATTTGCGTTTAGATTGTAATTTCTCTCCAAATTACTTATTTCTGTTATCAATTTTTTTTCTCTGTCATCAACTAGTTTTTTCTTATAAGATGAAACGGAAATGGTTTTGCCCCTGATCTCCATAAGTAGGGTCTCAAGAAAAAGTTGATCATTTACGGTAAACTGTATGTCAGAGTCCGGAATTGAGCTGATATTATTTAGGTTATAGACAGGAAGTGCATACTGGATTTTTATATTATTAATAAGTTGTTTTATATTGTCTATATATTCTAAATCATCAAGCAGAGAATTATTGAATTTCCATAACCCTTTACCTTTCCTAAATGGGTTAAATTCAATATTAATCCCCACAATGGAGTGGTCGGATCTATAACTCGATTCGATATATGAATTTTTAATACTTCTTACAAGGTTTTCTGTCACAAGGAAAAAATCTAGTCTCGCTTGTTTAATGGGATTTTTTCTCCTCCAAGTATATCTCTTATAATATTCATGTTGTTCTCTATACACATCAACTAAATCGTAAATTTCAATAAGTTCTAATACTTTTTTCCTTGCTTTTGGGTTGTTTATTTGTCGATATGTCTGATCATAATCTATTTCTGGATTTAAAACCAAGTTGAAATCACCGCAGATAATAGAGTACTCATTATCGGTATCCTGTAGCGCCAATTCTATCTGTTTATAGAAGTCGGGAGAATCAAGATTTGGACCATATATATTGATCAATGTCACTTTTCTATCTTCTAATAAACAATTTAGTAATAGAAAGTTACCCGCATCGTCTTTTTTTTCACTGATTACTTTAACATCGGCGGTGTTATTTAAAAGTATAGCGACGCCCCTCGAGTTCGACCTGTACGAGCTAAAATAGGCCTTATATCCCCACTCAGACCTAACCCTTGATTCTATTTCTGACGTAAAATGTGTGTCTTGTAGGCATAGGATATCATATTTCTGTTGTCTTAAATAAGAAAATATGTCTTTCCTTTTTTGTCTATCCCCAAGGCCCTGGCAGTTAACGGAAACAATCTTAATACAATTTGTCATTTGAAAATACGGCTCTAATAAATGTCGAGGTTAGCTTTTTCCCTTATTTTGTTTTTCATCGCTCTTACCTCGAAACAACTTTTTACCACCACCAGATTGGCACCGTTCTTCCAAATAGCTCCACCTATCATCAACATACAAATATAATGCAATAAGTACACATTAATTATACTAGTGGACAAGTATAAGAGAAAAATTAAAATTAACATAATTTGTCATTGTAGGCTATCTTATACTGTAGTACAACAGCTTATTCGAGGTAAGGGCGTACCCTTAGAAACTCTCGCACTTACACTTGCTAGGTACTCCCTTTCACTTACACAGAAAAACATGAGCTGTAAACTGTCCATTTTGACATACACACTAACACATACATTCACACACACACATATCCACAATACACGAGTCATCACTACAAAATACCTAGGACGTATCACAAGTCCTAGAAAAGACAAGGCAGCGGTAACACTCACGACGCTTGCGTACATCAACTAGCCATCGGTCACGTGCACAGACACGGTGATTGTATTGTTGTTACAAACTGTAAAATATCGGTATGTTCTATTTTACACATGTCGGCTGGGACACCTGGGGGCCCTTTTTGTGTTTGTGACATGAGCGAATAATAATAGGAGTTTAGTTCCCCGTCATTGCCTATTAAGCAATATATATTGAGCAATGTGCACATAATCGTAGCCAAATACTCCCAATAGCTACGATGTCCCCTTGTATTCGCAGCGTACCAACCGACATTGAAAATTGAGCATTGTTGAATACATCTTATATTTGCTTGTATTGTCAATAGCTTAGCTAGTAGTACCACATGTATAACAGCATACCGTATCTCGAGAAACGAGTGTGTGTGGTCATCCGGTGCCCACATCAGCAAGACGCCTCGTGAATACCTGTATTATAAAAATATATGATCAATAACTCAAAACTATATATATAATTATTACTATCAAGTACACAACCGAGACACAGATAATCTGTACATCTGTACACCCACACAGGCATTTGACTATATANCCCCCCCCCCCCCCCACACACACACACCCTCTAACCCGCTCACTCACCCCCGACTCGCATCACTGAACCCAATGCCTTTTAAAATTTCATTTAACAATGTTTCTCATTGTTGTTAATGTTATTTAATTTTACTGGTTATTTCATGCGGTTTTAACATATTTCATTAAGTGTGGTAAACATGTATAGTAGCGTTATACAGTGGGTATTATGTATGGTCTCGCGAGAACTCACGAAGGTTTGTTGTCGTCTCCTTAGTGACCTGTCAACAATGACGTCACACGCACTTGTCTGCACGGTAGCCATTTTCTATTTTGATTGATTGAAGGACTGCTAAGCCGCTGACAGCTCAAAGATTATTCGCAAAAACTCGAAAGAATTTCGAAGAAATAAGAACAATAGCGTTTTGGGAGTATTAACCGTATCATTTCGAGGTGGATATCATTAGGATTTAAAGGATTTACGAAGGAATAATCTATCTAATTGAGCTTTAGTGGCACGCGATCTTACGGAGACAGGTACACTGTAGTTACTTTTATTGACTCGGAAAATTTATGGACTTACCTGTCGGCAGTGCATAAACCTGCGTTCAGTTGGGCTTATATAACAGCAGGAAGACTGTGACATCATTATACTACCGTGAAATTAGCTAAATTAGCTACCGTGTACCGAAGTACACGACAAGCAGACGGCAACAGCTTTTAAGGGTTCTCCAGCTTATTTCCATACTATTACATTTAGAAAAGTCTAGAACTAGAAGTTGTTCCCGAAAAAATGGATAGAACAACTTCAGCTGGTTATCGTTTTCCAATAACTCAAAATCGTTCCACTAGTGCTTACCACGACCGGTGCATACCAACGGACTCGAAGGTCCAGACGAACTTCGCCGAACCTTCCAAGGCCTACTCCAATGCCGACTACGAGAAGTGCGACCAAGTGACCCAGGATACGATCTGGAAGCAGAGTGTGGCCAAGGAGACCACTGGAGCTAAGCAGTGGAGTGAAAACTGGGGCTTTTTGACTGAGTTTGACCCTAAGGTAGGCACTCATTTAATGATTTAGATTTTTTATTTTATTATTATTTATTTCTCAAGCCTCTCCAAACACCCCGAATCCTTTTGCTCAGCGCTAGCACAACTTTAAAATTGAAAATATTATGAATAAATTTAAAACGCGGGAGTTGTATTAATAAAATAAAGGATTTAATGTTCACTCCTTTTTTTACAACCCACATCTCTCACGTACATGCATTCTGAATTTTATATATATACTAGTAGCTAACTACTTACAGTACAGCTATTACTCAATTCTCTCCCATTCAATTTATTCAGCTGCTAAGCGTTCTAATACAACAGGAAAAGAGTAAAAATTAACTAAATGTAGAATTTAAAAAATAGTTTCATTAAAGAAATATGTTGGAGGTGAATTATTCAGACATGCACCGATAGTTCATTCCTTCCCCCCCCCCACCTCTAAACACTCACATACACACCCATACACATATTTTAATATGTTAAAACTTGTATATATTAAGTTTCTGTGACTTAATATTTATTGTAATTTTTATAATATTATGTATGTCAACACAAAAACCATAATACTAAGTTTCAGTGAATTGATTATTATTATTATTATTATTATTATTATTATTATTATTATTATTATTATATTACAGGGTAACCCAAAAGAGAAGGAACCTCTCCCAGAAACAGCCACTCGTTTCTCTGATAACGTCCCAAACACAAACTCTGGAAATTACGGCAGCAGACTGAATACTGACCTCGGAAAGAGGATGCAAAATTTGGAATTCCAGTTTTATGCCGAAGGCAGGAAGAAGAAGCTAGATGGAGATATTATATGTTATTAGATATGCACTTTAAATATTCATTTTATTTGGAAGGACTAAAAAAAATTCTGAGATGGGGCATTATCCAGAAGTGATATTTTGGATCCACTTTATATTGTGATGTAGGGCCAAAAGTGGTCCAGTCAAGACGTTGTGTTTGAAGAGGACCTGAAATGAGTTTGGATTAGCACGCCATTAGTCTGAAACTCATAAAAACACGTACAGGCTTGGTATAGATATGCCAGCCACAGTTGCAGAGCTTTATCCAGCTTATCTTGGGTCAACAACTTAGTGACAATGATTGCATTATGTTGGAGCCCTTCTTACATGCCAAAGAAAGGGGAGCATCCCCTTCTCCCCCCCCCCCCCCTCCGAGTCCCATTATTAGTCATACAAAATGGTGCAAGATGGATAGACATGATATTGATGTTACCTAACAAATGGATTGCGATACAGCTATCCAGTATAAGAGCAAAGGAATGACACGTATTCTTCATTTGGATGATTTAATTCATTCCACTTTTTTATCTGACAAAGGTAATTTGATCCTCACTCTGTCAAAAATAGGAGGATGAGTTTGTGCTGAATGACAAAGAGACTCGAACAAAGACAATTAATTGTTCTGGAATTGCACTCGGATTTTCGATGGTTAAACTGAGGCAGCTGTCTGTGTATTGAAGTTGCCTTTACTAAAAAGAGATATCTCTGTCAATTACAGGGTGTAACAAATGTACTTGTGAGATGTGCTTTTTTCACTATAATTTAGAATTCAGACTAACTGCTGTGATGGTCTCTTGTATACTGACAAAAAAGGAAAGCATTTCTGAAGAAATGTAACACTTCAAAGGTAGAATATTTTTGGTCTCTTACAAAAAGGTGTATTTTTTTATCAAAAAAATTATATTGACAGATTAACAGTAATGTACCTGTATTAGTCATTGGAACATACTTTTTAAGACTTTTCAAATTAATATATGGCATTGAATTTAGCTGAGCAAAAACATGAGCTGACCAAAAATTCTGGGCAAATACTGATGAATCAGCAGTCATTGCTCCATTCATAGTGTAAGGTTGAAATTTTTTTAGTTTTTCAGCATGTGAAAAATGGAAGAAAAAAATCTGCTGTAAATTTCAGTCTCATCCAGACTGTTAAACTCTACGATCTGTAGGATTGCATTCACACTTTGTTTACTGCTAGGGTAAATTTTTGCTGGTTTTCATGTATAGTATATTTTGCTGTATACACATTGTTAAATGTTTGACTGCTTTATTCAATGTGAGTAAAAGCTAGAATTTGCTTCTGTGAACTTAAGGCAAGAAGATTGTTAAACTGAGGCTTTTAAAAATCTCAACAAAATGCAATGCGAGTGGGTAAAATTTGCTTTTGCTACAGTGACCTTAAGGTTAAAAGATATCTCAAATTTTTTTTCTGGAGCCATTAGAACATGGGTTAAATGCAGGGGAGAAAATAGAAACATAGCAAATATGACATTATTATGCCATTTTGGAAGCCGAGTGTTTTTGTTATAAGGTGATATAACTAACATTATTATATGTGTTCAATATTTATTAATAGAAGTAATTTTTCAATATTTATAATTATATTTCAGTGTTCACTTGTTATTACAAAATAGAAACTATTTTCCACTAAATATTAAAAATAAAAATACTTGACCAAACCACTTGTGTATCTTTTATTATATAATATTCTAAGGCCAGGTCATTTCAAAAGACTGATTCAATGCTTATGTAGACCATTCAAACATAAATTAATGAACAAAATAACAGTAACAACACAACAATGCAAGAAAATGCAGAAACAATCATGAAAAAAATAATGAAAAAAATATTGGTACAAGTTACAAACAAATTATCTTACCAATTTTTCACTTATTTTAGCTTGTAAGCAATACGAAAGTGTAAGCTTTTGCAATTTACCTAGGACTTAGTGAAAAGTCATTTTTTATGCAACGCAAAAAAGAAATATGAAAACTAAGGCCAATTATTACTGAATTGAATTAAATAACAAATTCCCCTTTGACTTTGACATAAGTAAAATAAAGCACCTTGCCAACTTTCACTTGCACTATAACATCACAGATAATTTTAACACATCAATAAAAAGCTGTTTGAGACAAATAATATCTATGACACTAATGTAGCATACAAAAAGCATTGTTCGCAGTTATAAAGTCATTTCAACAAAAGCACTCAATAGTTGTATATTTTCAACTCTGATAAATATCGATTCTTTCAGTTATTAATTAATTTATTTATGTAAGTTTTCATACTAGTAAATTTACAATTTTGCTTTGATGGTCAAATTAGGCTTGTTGCATAAAAATATTTAAAGAATCTTATAGCAGCTTGTTATTACAATAGTAAAGAAATATCTTTTATAATGATAGTATACACGTAGAAAAAAAACATTCTACAGGTAAGAAATTACAATGATCCAAAGACCAGTTTTTAGTTCTGTTTCTGTGGCCATTGTTCCCCTGATAGACAATGAGGTAGAAATGAAACAAGAAAGATCAGAACTTCTGAAGGCTGGTTTTGTGTATTTCTTTTTTTTTAGAAAACTAGTCAAAAGATAAGATAAAATATAAAGACCTATGAAATTTTTCATCAAACTTCTCCTAGGACTATTTTCCAAAGAGGCTATTGGTCTTGAGTCTACATAGATTGATCCAACTCTCACTGAATGCAAACATATTAAAAGATTAAGACTGGGTTCCCATGCCTAGGTTGATCCATCTGGATTGCTGTCAACTTAACAGGCTTAAATGTCTGTCATGCCTACCGAATCAGCTAGGGTAAAGATAATTACCTCCTAACAGCTTTACTAGGCATGACAGACATTTCAGCCAGTTAGGGAGATAGATCGATATAAATATCTGTGGGAATGGTCCCTAAGATGTCTAAATTTAAATACATGCAATATGCGTTTGACCTTAGAAAAAAATAAATAAATTAAAAATCCTGGAAATTCTAACAATTTCCCATTAACACCAAGGTATTACATATTAAATACCACTGTCAAAATTATGCTCTGTAAACCACGCTGTAAGTTTCTAATTTTAGAGTTTATTTTAGAGTCAATCTTATAAAAGAGAGACTGTTGAATGTTACTCGAACTACTTATGTTTCAAAACAATCGGTATGATAAAAACATTATCTGAATACCTAAACTGTACTTAAAACAGCTGATTCAATTTCTGTTAATCAGCAACGTTAACCAGCTCTTCACTAGCATGCTTAAACATGGCATCCACATATTGTGCAAAGAAACGGTCCATGTAATTCTGGTAGCGTGGGAAGAATCCCTCCAAAAATCCAATATGGCCACCATGAGAGGTGACAACTATGGCAAGATGGTCGTTTTGTTTGGCGTCTTCAATTGGAATTGCTGCAAAGACATGGAGAAATGGTAAGTATCTTTTTAAACGATGTAAAATGTGACAATATGCCTGTGATGACAAGAAAAAAATGGGACTGACTGGCTGAGAGAGAGAGAGAGAGAGAGAGAGAGATTTGAAATATCATTACAATTTTATAATTGATAATTTGGGCTAATTTCTTTTGTGAAATAGTACTATACTTTAGCCACTGGGGGGATGAAAGAGGGGGAGGACAGAGGGATGAGAGACAGACTAATAATATACATATATATCCTAGTGTGTGTGTGTGTGTGTGTGTGTGCACCTACCATACAAAGGGGAAAAAGGATCATCGGCTGCATTAAGACATAACAGCGGCACTTGAATATGGTGGCATTTGTCATGCAGGGTAGCGTCTTTATAATACTCCTGCCAATCTTTGTAACCAAACATCTTAGATGTCAAGCGATCATCAAATTCTCGAATGGTAGAGCTCTGGTAAAAAAAAAAAGACTAATCATCAGTTAAAGTCTACACAGGTATGCAAAGCTGCATGATTTCAGTTTCGTGAAAATATAAGGTACGCAATGAAATGTTCATTCTCACTGATTGACAATCTGAGTTAAAAACTAGGCCCTCAGTGGCCAGCTGAACAAATTGACAAAATTTTAAATATCAAAACTCTCAAAACATCTGGTATTTTATATGCTGGTGGTTAATGTTGGCGCAGATTGACATATATCTGTTTTTCATGGATATGTATATATAGTAACAAGAAACACATTACAATCCCCACATTACACTTACTCAAATGTTTCTATCCTTAAGTTTTAAACTCACACTTACAAAAATACTGATTCTTAAACTTATAAGATACAATTCAAAAGTTAGGCCACATTTACAATCAGTTTACCCCCTTATAGACTTATGTCTCAAGCTTTCAAGTGGGTTGCCTATATATTTCATCAGCAGATCTTGTAAGTGGATCAAATATGGCCAACCCACTTGAAAGCTTGTGGCATAATTTTTGAAGTTAAAGAAGTGGTTTGGGAAGTATAGTACACTGGCTCTATGCAAATGTAACTTTTAAAATTACAAGCACAAAAATATCATGTGCTTGTATAAATAAAGACAGGAATAGGAAATAAACAGCTGACAAAGCAATGATGATCTTGTACTTTTACCTTCAGAACATGCTCCAAATCAAACTTCTCTGACAATACTTGGAAATTTCTGAAAAGAAATCAATCTTATAAACACTTATGTATAAATTTATATAAATACCTTCATACATGTTTAGAATATTATTCTAATTGAAGATTTAAAGACACATTCTTAGTGCATAAACAAAATGTAAATACATATCAATACACAAACTCATCAGAACAGATATCAACTCAAAATTTAATGTCATGCACGCGTACACACACATACACACACACACACTGTGACACACACTCTCCTTTCTTTCACTTTCTCTCTCTCTCTTACACAAAAATACTTTCTCTCTTGTCTCTCTCATTCTCTCTCTCTCACTCACACACACACACACACACACACAAAACATAAATCCCCCAAAACCCAAACTCGTGTCAAACCAGATGAGGAAAATCTATGCAAGACTTACTCCTTGATGGCCCCTCTCAGGCTGGAGGTCAGTGTCCTGTTGAACAGCAGGTGATTGAGAGGTTGCTCCAAGCTCTTTGTGGACTCAAATACATTGAAGGCCACAGAAATGGTCATCCCCGCCAGTAGGGGGCAGTCTCTTCCCATCTTGGCTATGTAGTTGAAGACGAGCATTCTTGAAGAAAAGAATTTTTTTAATTAGCTGTGTTCCAAGTGCTTCTTAAATTGAAGCAAAATTTTGAATTTATTGTATCTAAAAAATTCACTTAAATTTTTTCAAGATTTCTTATTTTTGTGTTTTTGGAGAAATTCACTTATTGCTATAAACAAGCAACATGTCAGAACTTGCAAATATTCTTTCAGATTTTACATAATGAAATAAACAAATGATTCAGAAAGTACTATTGTGCTACCAGATAGCAGACTTACATGTATTTTACGATCATGATTCACCATTTTAGGCTGTATTCCCGGAGCTTTTAGATCGATCTATCCCCGCGGGGAGTCTCACTAGATTACTGTCAGATAATCCGCCTACTACAAGCTGTAAGGGGGTTATTAACTTTCGTGTCCACTCGGCTGACAGCTATTTAGCATGAACCCCCAGGGAGTTAGGTTGATCTAAAGTAGATCGATCTAATCTCTGGAAATGGGGTCTTAGATTCAGAAACTGTATGCTGGGGGAAGAGGAATATTTAACACAAGACAAGGGAAATTTCACAAATTCAAATATTGCCACTAAGGGCAATATAATATGTTATGAAGTGGAAAAAGCGTGTATTGGGAAGGGGAGGGGTGGCTATTCTGCTTGCTGTGCCCCTCCCCTTTTCTCTATCAACCTACCCTCCCATAGATATCCCTGTTGCTATGAGGGGTGCGTCAGGATATTTTCCCTTTATATGGTTGATCACGTTGGTCAAATCTTCAACATTGGCAGCACAATATGACCTTGGCGTCTGAAATGACCTTTGACTTTTGTGATATCGAAATAAGTGAAACATAAACAATAGCTACTTACGAAAAAGAATGATAGCAGCAATTACACTATACTGCCATGTCCTAAGTAATTTTGCTACCAATCAAAAAAATGGGTCTTATAATTTTGTACTTGCCCTTTTTAAAAATACTTTCGAAAATTATACAAACCTAAATTAAAAATATAATGTACTAAGCCACATCTTCAGCATTTTTTTTTTAAATATTATTATTTTTACATGCATTTGGTAACCTCTGAAAGCAAGACAATTGATGTTCAGGGAGTTAAAAATGCCAGTATATAATAGAATTTTATTTACAGAGTGTTCCACTTTTGTTTTACTTACCAACAATTTTTTGCCACCAGCGCCTCTGTTGTTAAACACAACACACCTTCAAAAATACACCAATAAACATATGATTAAAATATTAAAAATATATCAATAATTTTAAATCTTTGACTGTAATGTTTTTTTTATTTTTCAAATTATTAACTAATTTCAAATATGGTTTATAATATTTTATAGATCTGTTTAATTTAGGTTACATAATCGTTAATGGCAGCAATTTTTAAGGTTCTTTTTCTTAAAGCAGTAATAAGTAAGTAATAACTTTGTCACCTGTATCCTTTGTCTTTGGCTTGTTTAACAAGGTGTAGAATATAACTCTGTCGACTACAACCTAAACACGAGTTAAAAAATTTGCATTAAAAAATTTTAATAGATGAAATAGATTAAAATTTATCAGACATATCTATAAATGTGTGAAAAAATTTACTAAGAATCGGTAAATAGAGGACATATATAGATATGCCAATTATTATCATAACTGTCATTAAGGTTTTACTTATTTTTATTATTATTATTATTATTCATTTATCATTATGTTCAAATAAAGACAATCCAATATGACAGAGACAGGGGCAGATTGAGGCTGTCTTCTGGGTCTTCCAGAAGACGGTCACATTTTCAAGTTTACATTGACAGGTATCTAATTTTTTCTGTTGGAAGATGGTCTAAAATGGGAGATGGATCAGCAAAAATACTAGTTATTTGAAAGACTGTCAGAAAATATCTCTGTATCTGCCTCTGAGAGAAAGAGAGAGAGAGAGAGATACCTGTAAGTCCTGGCAGTAATAGAACTGTTGGTCTTGTTTTAGAGTCACTATAAATACTGTTCTCATTTTCCTCCCAATGTAAAATCACTTGGCCCCCATCTGGCAGAGTTAAAATATCACTGGAAGTATAAAATTATATACAAATTGCAATAAATCACCACCATAAGTCAAACATAGTATTTTTAGTTAGCTTTTACTTCAACCTGCTGAATATGGAGATGTGTTTCAGGGTGCAAATCACAATCACTAAAAATATATTCATATCTGGCTTTTTGGTGTTTTACTGTATATAATAGAACTATAAGGTACCGTTTTTTCCATTTTGTTGTTGACACTTATAACAACAGGAATGTTCTAATTTTAAAAATTTATGACTAAAAAAAATTCAGTACTTGCAAAACTCACTATTTCTCCATTGAAACCATAAAAGCACATTAACAGTATTTTTTTTCTTGCAAACCTGCTGCAAACTGACCTAGTGTAAGTAATGTCTGGCACCGACTGAATCACAGCTCGAACAATTGTCATAATTCTGGCTTCAAAACACCACAGCGTTGGCCAAAACTTCTCGTTGACAACGGGCACATATCTGTGCAGAAAGCGTCTGAATTTGGCATCTCTGCAGGCAAAGATCGGCTTCTGAAATTCAAGTGTCCAGAACAGAAATATAGTGAAAGTACAGTATTTATATAACGCAACACACATGCGTCCTTGGACGAATAAAACAAATTGTATTATTTGTCCACGATGCATTTTACATTGAGGCCTGGTCATTTTGTCATTTGAAATTAAAATTCTTGAAGTTCATTATTTCTGCAACTGCAATGGCAAATCTATGACATTGATTGTTAATGAGGTGTTAGCATTTTAAAAGATGAAAAATGCCCTAGCTCGATAAGTGATCGATATATTGAAGCATGCAAAAAAAAAAATTCCACCGTCTAGTACCGTCTAGTTGTTTATTTCTCTCGTCTGATTCTACATATCACTAAAAGATGATAAACTGCTTACTCATCAGGTGCAGGAGTTCATGAAAACCTAGATCTGGGGACAAGGTTATACTGATTGGTGCAGTTAGATGTAAATACTGCCCGACTGTCACTCGCTGACTGAATGTTAGGAGTCAGCGTTCTATTAATTAATTTTCACTTGATTTACCGTAAAAAAAGCAAAATGATATCCTACCTTTACTGCATATAATAAGTAGTAAGACAGATACAAAATCCCAAACCCAGTAAGAAGGGTTTCTTTGGGATTTTTCCGATAAAAGTGCAGAGTGTCTTCCCAAACCCGACTGAACATTTCCTGAATTTTGGACTTTACCTTTACTATTCCCCGCGAAACAACCTCGGTATCGATTTAAAAACAATCTCATCATTCCTGAGAGCGGATTTGAAATCGAGACGCTAAGAAATACCGGTCGGTTTCTTTATCATATACATACTTTTTGTCTAAATAACAATGACGCAAATGTATTGAAGAATGTCTTTTTTCAAGACTTTGATACAATTTTGAAATAAAAATGGTATATAAACACTTTTAAATGTAGTCGAAACCACTGTATCGAAACTAAACATCACGATCATCATCCGGGAACTTCTCCAAGATGGCAGCAGCACTTTTCGGAAGCACGGCCGGTGGCCGCAGTCAAAGCAAAAATTTGGTCGAATTTAGGGCCGGTAAGATGTATTTGAAGAGCAAGATGTGTCACCCCGATAAAAGGAAGGGGATGGTGTATATTTATCAGTCGGACGACTCCTTGATGCACTTCTGTTGGAAAGACAGGACCAGCGGTGCGGTGGAAGACGTGAGTAGGCAGTTTTGACAGTATTTAGTTAATGATCGTTCTTTGCATTTGCCTAAATTTTATTCTCAACAATTGCTGTGTATTATTGATGAAATAATATATGTAAAATACCTGATGTGTACTTCTTTTTTATAAAATAACTTTACTTTTGAAAACAGTACGGAACAAAACCGCTTTTTAAGAAATCTAAAAAAATACTTTGCCTTCTTTAAGTTCTTGTCAAATCTCCAATTTTCGTATGCTAAACTAAAGAGATCTTATCCATCTTGTTTAAGCATAAAGCATGAAAAACTCCATAATATGTATACGCAGTTCTTGTATCTTTCTGTTTATTTCTCCAGGACCTGATTATCTTCCCGGATGACTGCGAGTTCAAACTAGTGCCGCAGTGTACTACGGGGAGAGTTTATGTCCTCAAGTTCAAGTCTTCTACCAGAAAGTTTATTTTCTGGATGCAGGTAATATAACAGATGGTTCATATTTGGATTTTTGAATTTCAGATTTAAAAAAAAAAAAAGGGAAGATAAGACCTATTTAAGGAAGCATGCTCCGTACTATTATCCAAATAAAATTGAGAGATATGAAATAGGATAATTCTTCTAGATGATACGGTCCGACAGTCAAAACCCTACCATGAAAATATTGCCCTAACTAGAAGTTTATACCAAGAATAGAAAAAATGCAGGTCATATCCATTTGATAAAAAAAGTGGTAAAGTAACAAAGACAACATTAAGATGTTTGCTCAAGTTACTAGAACACCATTCAACATACCTGATGTTGCTCTTAGGTCACGAAAATTGTATGCTCTCAACCAATGACCTTCAAAAAGATAAAATTTTCCACTGCTTTGGATTGTCTGTCAATGTATTGAATCAAAGTACATTAGGCCAAGAGCTTTTTGATCATACCTCGTAAATTGNAAAAAAAAAAAATTCCACCGTCTAGTACCGTCTAGTTGTTTATTTCTCTCGTCTGATTCTACATATCACTAAAAGATGATAAACTGCTTACTCATCAGGTGCAGGAGTTCATGAAAACCTAGATCTTGGGACAAGGTTATACTGATTGGTGCAGTTAGATGTAAATACTGCCCGACTGTCACTCGCTGACTGAATGTTAGGAGTCAGCGTTCTATTAATTAATTTTCACTTGATTTACCGTAAAAAAAGCAAAATGATATCCTACCTTTACTGCATATAATAAGTAGTAAGACAGATACAAAATCCCAAACCCAGTAAGAAGGGTTTCTTTGGGATTTTTCCGATAAAAGTGCAGAGTGTCTTCCCAAACCCGACTGAACATTTCCTGAATTTTGGACTTTACCTTTACTATTCCCCGCGAAACAACCTCGGTATCGATTTAAAAACAATCTCATCATTCCTGAGAGCGGATTTGAAATCGAGACGCTAAGAAATACCGGTCGGTTTCTTTATCATATACATACTTTTTGTCTAAATAACAATGACGCAAATGTATTGAAGAATGTCTTTTTTCAAGACTTTGATACAATTTTGAAATAAAAATGGTATATAAACACTTTTAAATGTAGTCGAAACCACTGTATCGAAACTAAACATCACGATCATCATCCGGGAACTTCTCCAAGATGGCAGCAGCACTTTTCGGAAGCACGGCCGGTGGCCGCAGTCAAAGCAAAAATTTGGTCGAATTTAGGGCCGGTAAGATGTATTTGAAGAGCAAGATGTGTCACCCCGATAAAAGGAAGGGGATGGTGTATATTTATCAGTCGGACGACTCCTTGATGCACTTCTGTTGGAAAGACAGGACCAGCGGTGCGGTGGAAGACGTGAGTAGGCAGTTTTGACAGTATTTAGTTAATGATCGTTCTTTGCATTTGCCTAAATTTTATTCTCAACAATTGCTGTGTATTATTGATGAAATAATATGTGTAAAATACCTGATGTGTACTTCTTTTTTATAAAATAACTTTACTTTTGAAAACAGTACGGAACAAAACCGCTTTTTAAGAAATCTAAAAAAATACTTTGCCTTCTTTAAGTTCTTGTCAAATCTCCAATTTTCGTATGCTAAACTAAAGAGATCTTATCCATCTTGTTTAAGCATAAAGCATGAAAAACTCCATAATATGTATACGCAGTTCTTGTATCTTTCTGTTTATTTCTCCAGGACCTGATTATCTTCCCGGATGACTGCGAGTTCAAACTAGTGCCGCAGTGTACTACGGGGAGAGTTTATGTCCTCAAGTTCAAGTCTTCTACCAGAAAGTTTATTTTCTGGATGCAGGTAATATAACAGATGGTTCATATTTGGATTTTTGAATTTCAGATTTAAAAAAAAAAAAAAGGAAGATAAGACCTATTTAAGGAAGCATGCTCCGTACTATTATCCAAATAAAATTGAGAGATATGAAATAGGATAATTCTTCTAGATGATACGGTCCGACAGTCAAAACCCTACCATGAAAATATTGCCCTAACTAGAAGTTTATACCAAGAATAGAAAAAATGCAGGTCATATCCATTTGATAAAAAAAGTGGTAAAGTAACAAAGACAACATTAAGATGTTTGCTCAAGTTACTAGAACACCATTCAACATACCTGATGTTGCTCTTAGGTCACGAAAATTGTATGCTCTCAACCAATGACCTTCAAAAAGATAAAATTTTCCACTGCTTTGGATTGTCTGTCAATGTATTGAATCAAAGTACATTAGGCCAAGAGCTTTTTGATCATACCTCGTAAATTGTGTGTTCCTGAGGAAGGTGAGATCTTTCCAGGATTGGACGGATCCATAAAGAAGAGACACAAATTGACAGACTGAGCTTTTTTTATGTAAAATAATCAATTTATAAAATTAAACCTTTTTCAACTGGACGTTTACATCTTTTTAAATAACTGCCATTTTCCAGGAGCCCAAAACGGACAAGGATGAAGACCACTGCAAGAAGGTGAATGAGTACTTGAACAACCCCCCAACCCCAGGTTCCAGCAGAGGGGGTGGCGGGATGTCAGGTCTACCCCCAGATCTGGCTGGTCTGGGAGACAGCGATCTACAAAGTATACTGGGGGGGATGAGCCAGCAACAGTTGATGCAGCTACTGGGTAATTTGAATAAAATTTATTTATTTATTAAAATGATTGTTATTAAATTTAAATGAAGTAAGTACTAGTTTTTTATGTAATTAAGTAGAGTAAGAAATTTTAAAGTAGAGTACCATTCAAAATTTTCTGTTTTACTACATTTGTCATAACTTCCAGTGAAATGACCTTTGCTGACATTCTGGCAAGGATTTGCATTGAGCAAGATAAACTTTTTGAATAGAGTTTTGACTTGCTTGATGCCTGAGAAAGAGGGTGTGTCTGACAAAGAGTGAATAAATGAGAGAGACAGAGAATTTGTGTTCGTGCCAGAGAGAGAGAGAGAGTGTATTAATGGGTCAAAACACGGTAACGGTGCCATGGGTGTCCAAATTTTTTTTTGTTCATTGAAATTTAAAATTTTTACATTTTTGTAGAAAACAAATCAAATTTTCAGACAATGTAAGTTTCACTGATATACTCCCAGTACTTTTTCTGTGAGCCACTGGGAAACATAAAGGAAAAAAAAAATTGTCTCTGACGGGACACATGGTCATATTGGCCTGAGTCAGATATTAGGTTGTTTTTTCAAGTTTTTATCACTCAAATATGTTAAACTAATCAGAAGTAATAGTTTAACATAGAAAACTGCCACCTATCACTTATTTTGAGTAAAAAATTATTTAGCACTAGGAGTGGTGTGTCCCGTCAGAGACATTTGACTTCGAAAAGTTTTCATATTTTCCACATCTGGTAGGTTGTATAAATGAAACTTAAAATCCTCTTTTAAATAATAATAATTAATGATAATAGCTAAAAATTACAAAATTAAAACAATTAACAGTGAATTTATTGCCACATTTTATCATTGTCTCTGACGGGACATTTTCTGTCTCTGACGGGACATTTTCTGACAGATGTGAAACACAAGGTTTTACATCTTCAATTGAATCATTTTCAGGTGTTCTGGTGTGTTACATTTCTTATTTTTCTTTTGCAACTGATCATTACTGGGTAATTCATTAACTATTACTGATTATTAGCTAGGTTGACTGTCAGTGATTAGGTGTTGACATGTGCCGTCAGAGATCATGTCAAAGCACTAGAACTGTGAGCAGGTAATTCTGTTCACTGCATGTGCATGATTTAGAACAGAGTCTGAAGGAGACCTCCAGCTCCAACCGTATGTTGTGGTATCTGATGATCTGCACCATAACAAACAGTCCATCTTCACTTGTAATAAGGCCATTCTCGAAGACCTCCAACACCAGCAATCATTCAGCAAAGTCCATTACTGGTCAGACGGAGCCCAAACCCCCATTCAATTCAAAAGTTGGTTTTTACTGTCTAAACATGGTACTATCATGAATGAGATTTTGGTATGGAAGCGCTGTGGTACTTTTTATACCACTGCCCATGGCAAAAGACCAGTGGATAGAATCATAGGGGAAATGAAACATCAGGTTTGGGGAGCTGTGCTCCAGAGAAAAATGGTTGTAGATACACATTATCAATTCTATTTGGCTGGCAAAGAATTATGCCCCAATGTCAACGTAATGTACCTGTCTGTAGCAGATACTGTAGCAGCTACCGCGCCCATCAGCAGTTGCTGGGAAAACTGTCCATCTGTTCCAGGAATTAAACACTTCCAACAGCTTCAGCCCCAGCCCCAGTCACGTGGACATGTACTTGTGTCAACCAATTCTCAGTACCAGCAACCCTCTTAATATGCTAAACTTATTCATATGACTGTGGACTTTGATTTGCCTGCACATCCGCACTATGACAATGTCAGTCAAGGCACAGCTCAGTCTTACTAGGGAAATTTTGTCATTGTGGAGTTTGCTGCCAGGAAAGGAGTAAAACAATTCTTAGGTCAGGTCACCCATGATACTGAAGATGGCAAAGTGGAAGTCAGTTTCTTATGTAATGAAGGTTCTGGCAAAAGAATCTTTGTGTACCCTGCCACAGAAGACAAAGCATGGATTCCCGTAAAAGATGCCAAGGAAGTCCTTCCAATGCCTAGCATAGACACTGGTGGACTTAACTTGTTTCCATCACCTGTTAATGTGACTGGTTGAAAAAATCTCTAAAGTGCAGAAAAGATATGTGTTCTAAGACTAACTGAAAAACAGGAATTATTATGTGAACTATCATGGACAGTGTTGATTGATATTGAGAAATAGCAGTAATGGACAGTGGATTATGTGAAAATTATACTGTGCCTTATCGCCGTGTCATGATAATTAATTAATATTATAAACATATATGTATCTGGTGATTTTTCTAATGTACAGAAATGCTGTTTTGCAATAGCCATCAAGTAAGATTCATTAGATACAAAAATGTGGCTTTTTAAACCTCTTTTCTAAGATTTTCCAATAGTGCCCAAATGTGTCCCGTCAGAGACGTCCCGTCAGAGACAGTGACTTTTTATACTTAACAACCCATGCTGCCAAGGAAAGTAAATAAAACTGGCCTGTTTGTGCATTAATTGCTCCCCAAGACTTGTACCTTGCAATATGAATTACAAAAGTCTTGATTAAATGAAATTTCAAAGAGAATTTTGCATTGGAGTTTTAGTCAAAAAATACAGGGGTCAAAAATGTCCCGTCAGAGACAGACCTTTAAGTGATTATAATTCCCACATTTATTTCAATACAAATTAGCTGCTTGTTTTACATAATCCTTTATGGTCCAGCTAAATAAAAATGTATTTAAAAGTAACCATGTGGATCATTTACCAACTGTAATTTTTAAGATTGTCTCTAAAATGTCCCGTCAGAGACATTTCAAATACCGTGTTTTGACCCTTATCTAGTTAATAAGGACTATGTTTTTTACTCTTCAGGTGGTATGGGGATGGGTGGTATGGGAGGACTGACATCTATGATGGGAGCCAGACCTGCCAGTGCTCAGTCCACTGACTCATCCACGTAAGAATTTAAACAGTTTATTCTGAAGTATTTGATTCCTATACAAAGTCTATTCCTCTCTGCAATTAGATGCACACACTAGAAGGGATAAAGAAATGAAATCATTATATTCAAACTAAACTTATTTTGTGGAAGAAGCAGATTGTTTTCAGATATTTGTATTGTTTTGTGAATTATTCGTATTTTGTGCACAGATTAATAAAAATATTGCCTTATTCATCGTCATTTGATTCATACTGAATTTCTTACTCCATTAACATTAAGTGTTGATTTATTTATTGACTAATTAATTGATTGATTGATTTTTCAGGCCACTGCGAGTCCAATCTTCTCCTGGTCCCAGAGCCACCAGTGCTGACAGTACAGTGACCCCTGCTCCGCGGCCTGCCACTGCGGCTGCCTTGCCTTCCCAGCCTTCGCTGATCACAGCCCAGCAACCTGTGCCACAGACAGCGCCCCCTGCTGGTCCACAGGCACCGACACCTGGTGCCGGCGGAACTCCCATACAACTCAGTGACTTGCAGAATATACTGTCTAATATGACAGGTGGGTCAGTGTGGGATTTTCAAAGGTTTAAAATTTTTAATTTCTGGATTATATTGTTTGAAAATTGTTTTTGCTCTTGAATAAAATCAGGTATGATATCATCTTAATGTGTATTTGAAGTCTGTTTNAGCTCAGTGACTTGCAGAATATACTGTCTAATATGACAGGTGGGTCAGTGTGGGATTTTCACAGGTTTAAAAAATTTTAATTTCTGGATTATATTGTTTGAAAATTGGTTTTGCTCTTGAATAAAATCACGTATGATATCATCTTAAGGTATATTTGAAGTCTGTTTGTTTTGTTTATAATTTTCAGTGCCGGCAGCATCAGGAGCCACAGGTTCCAGTCAAACAAGTATGTATACATTTTACCATCACTGGGGTAGCCCTAACACTCGCCAATTTAGCCAAATGCTAAAACTGACTTAAACTGGCTAAACAAAAAAGGGCTTGATTTGACTAATTTTAGTCAAATTAAAGCCATTTGGATAACAAATTGACAAAAAAGTGGTAATTTGGCTAAGCGAAAAAAAAATTTTAGCGCTACCCCAGCATCTTATTCTCTTAGCTCACTCAAGGATAAAATATCTCTTAGCCTTCTAGTTGGATAGTTTGTTTAAATAGGTTTTTTGTTGTCTTGTGCATTGATAGTAAAAATGTGATCAAGGCCCTCTCATGAAAGGGCAATTTGTTATATCTGATATAAATCATTGTCTTCTAGAAATGGTTTGAATTTATTTCTAGTTGGCCAGTTGCAGGCAAATTAGAAAATTGAAATACTTGATGATAAATTGTCAAAAACAATTATAGATAAGTGGATGAAAATAGATGTGAAATGTAATTCATTGCTACCCTGATTTTTCTGTTATGGTGCATACTAAAAAGGAAAAGGGCTGAACAAAAGATAATGTTTTTTTGTTTTTTTTTTCCCCAGGGCACACACTCATTCATGAGTTATATTATATTCATTATTGTGTTGTGGAAGTTCCTGTTGTCCATTAATAAAATTGCCCCTAAAATATATTTTTGAAATTCTTCTCTAAATTTTGTTCAGTATGTTTTGAATCATATCCCTCTTGTTCCAGACGTAGACCTGGTTCAGGCCCTGAATCCCGACAGCCTCATTCCCATCCTGGCGAACAAGGAGGTACAGCAGAGACTCGTCCCCTTCTTACCACAGGGAGGCTCTCTGCCCAAGAGTGAAGAAGAGCTGCGAGCCACGGTTTCTGCACCTCAGTTTCAACAGGTTTGTATGATATGATGTTCAATAATTTTTTTTTTTTTTTTTTTTTTTTTTTTTTTTTTGTCACATATGACCTATAATTATAAATTGCCCAAACGGAGTGTCTCTTGAAATATTTACATGTTATTTTGTTATTTGTGCTCCCTTTATATAAGTGACTGTGCTGGTGGTACATGTACAGGAGGTGGCTGTGCATTTCTAATCTTTCAGTTACAAATTATCAACAGGCTGTTAAGATTTTCTGGAAATATATTTGTTATAGTCCCTTTTTTCCCCAGAAATATCTGTTTTGTCATTCCTTTTGCTCATGAGACACCTTTGCTCCAGAAATATCATTTTTATTAAATAATTAATGTTTACCTGACCCAGCTGGTGGTTCTTGCCCAGGATTACCTTACCCTCTCAGATCTTTTTTTTTTTTTTTTTTTCCTAAAACCCGAGCTCATGTCTGTCTTCTAAAAATCATAACTCTCCCTGTATATTGTATTCCCAGGCTCTGAGAAATTTCATTGCTACTGGTGGTACATGTCCAGTAGTCTCAGATCTTATAATTATAATAATGATGATAATAATAATAATAATTATATTTATGTATCTTTAATTTCCAGGCTCTAAGTACATTCAGTGCTGCACTGGCCTCTGGTCAGCTGGGGCCACTCATGGGCCAGTTTGGCCTGGGAGAAGAGGTGGCCAATGCAGCTGCACAGGGAGGTGAGTTTTAATTACCTTATTTATTTATTTATTTATTTATTTATTTATTTTTATTTATTTATTTATTTATTTATTTATTTATTTTTCATATGCAGGCAAAGTTTTGATGAAAATAGTAATTCTGGTAACTGCTTTGCATGTTTTTAAATGATCCGTAAATGTAAAAAAATCTTTCAAATTTGACTGAATATTTATAATAACTGTTAAAGTAAGGTTAAAAGTGAATGATTGATGGACTGATTTCTTGGCAATTTAGAAATTTCAAAATCTAAACAACTTGTGCATCCAAATTTTGTATTTTAGGGCCAAGAAGCTGTAACATCTAAGGATTTCATGAATAATGTTCAGTATAACCCTGATATATCCACTGTATGATATTTTGTTTATGTATTTCAGATGTTGAGGCCTTTGTTCGTGCAATGCAAAACGCAGAGCAGGGGGGCGAGGGCAAGGATGAGGGAAGGAAAGAGGAAAAGATGGACGAAAGCTAAAACTGTGAAGAACAGTTTTGTGCCCGTTTTGGGAGATATTCCTGAAGAATTTGAAAACATCAGGAACATATCGATATATTATTCAAATTCTATATTAGACTTTTCCTTACTGGATATCCAAAATCATTTCTCATTATGAAAATATACTAATGATTAAAAAATTAAAAATAGATGCACTGAAGCTGTGGGCTCAGACGGATTATTTCTTTTTTTATCAAAAATGGGGACTGTTCACGTCATTTGACTTTTTTTTAAATAATTATTTTGGTTGATTTTTTATTTGTTTATTTATGTTTATTTTTGTAATTTGTGTCATTGGGAAATCTGAGCTTATAAATTCTAGTAATCCTAATTTAAACGCAATTGTGTTATTTTAATGTCACTGAGCACAATCTACTTGACACTCTAGAATTGTCACTGGTGCTTTGAAGAAAATATGTTCCGATAAATGCCTTGTACTTCTTTTTTGAGCTGTTTTAATGATTATTAATCATTATTTTTAAGTGAAATGAATGAATAAAATAACAATGGTCATAGAAAATATTCGTACTAAACGAGAAGTAGTAATAACAGTGGCAATAAGAGTAATTTAAATTAAAAATCCGCCGATATCCAAGTTGTTTCTGTGCTTTTCTGGCCAAACCTAGTTTAAAGTCGGATTATGTTCCAAAACTGAAGTTAAAAACAAACGTGAAATACACCGTCTTTGGCATGTCATATCATTTCTCATTTAATTATTTCTCCAACTTTTCGGCGAGCTCGAATTCTCTTTGGTCATAATCGAGGAAAATGTAGAGCTCCGCTTGCTTGCGGTTCGTCATGGCCCCCTGCACGGTTAGCCCTCCGAAGTCCTTTTGCTTGAAGACGCGAGTTTCTGTAACGTTGTATCTGGACTCGATTTCGTCGTAAACTTCCCTCGAGGCGTGCACGTATTTGTGGAATACCTATAAAGAGAAACAAGGGGAAATAAAACAAGTTAAAGAATTTTATTATTCTATCAATGGCAATTACCTGAAATTGTGCATAAACAAAACTTAAGCAATCGTGGGAGTATCTTGGGAAAGTTCAATTTTATTTTTAACATGCTTTTACCTTAAAAAAAAGAATAATTTACTACTTCCAAGCACGTCTAAGTCTTGTTCTGTGAACCAAGACGTTTAGTGCCAGTAAGCAACTCCTTTAATTTTAATATAATTTTTAAAAGATTACTTGTGTAAAGGATCTCTCTCTCTCTCTCTCTCTCTCTCTCTCTCTGTGTGTGTGTGTGTGTGCGTGTATGTGTGTGTGTGTGTGTGTGTGTGTGTGTGAAAGTACCCTGGTGACCCATATAAAACTTCCAATAGACCCAAAGCTAAAGAGAGAAAAAGATAGTAACAATTCTTTACCTGAAATCTGAAATGATTGGCGTGAAACAGGGGCACTTCCCATCCAAATACCAAAGTGTGGGCGGTCCCTTTAACAGTGCACCCTATGATACCGGAGGAGGACTCGAAAATATTCTTGGGGTTACCTGAAATATTTATATGATCATTAGTATACTGGTAAAGTCGGGACTCGAAAGTTTCCCCGTATTATCCCACTTTGGACTTTTTAAAGTTACAGTAACCTTTGTATTTCTGTATATGGTAATTTAGAGGGCGAACGGTGCCATTTAGTACGGTTAAGAACTATGTTTCAGCTAGTCAAAATGCTAGAGCGACTAAAGCGATGAGGATTTTAGAACCCTCAGGCAGTTGGTACCTACCCGAAATGACCAACTTGATTAAAAGCTTTAAAAAAACTTTTAAAATAGACTTCAATTATAAAACAAGGTTTATCAAAATTATATTAAAGGGGTTTTCAAGTAATCCTGATCGTTGATTGGCGTTTGTAATGAATGAATGGATTAACTTTATTTTAGAAAATCCATTCAAATAAATTTTTACAAGGTCAGCTAACACGGGTAGTGAAAAGTTTTAGCAGTGAGGACTTGACTGCAGCAAGGTTGAATAGTACGCCACGGTCATCTGATAGACTAGGTGGGGGAGTCCATTCAATTGGAGGGGTTTAGTGGAGAAAATCCACTCAATCTGAGGAATGTCAGGTGGGGCGACTCCATTCCAAATAAGGGGGTGTTGTGTGGGACGATTCCATTCCATTTAAGGGGTGGCAGGTGGGACGAGTTCATTGCATTAGAGGGGTGACAGGTGGGGCGATTCCATTGCATCACAGGGGTGACAGGTGGGGCAGGTCCATTGCATGAGAGGGGTGACAGGTGGGGCAGGTCCATCGCATGAGAGGGGTGTTAGGTGGGGCAGGTCCATTGCATAAGAGGGGTGATAGGTGGGGCGAGTGCATTGCAATAGAGGGATGACAGGTGGGTCAGGTCCATTGCGTTAGAGGGCTTATAGGTAGGGCGAGTCCATTGCATTAGAAGGGGCGTCAGGTGGAGCAAGTCCATTGCATTTGAGGGCTGACAGGTGGGGCCAGTCTATTCCAATAGAAGGGGAGGCAGGTGGGGCGATTCTAGTAATAATCCCGATTTGGTTCAGAGAACAGGAATTGAAGAAATTCTGCTTTACCCTCAGAAATCAAATTTTGTGGACAATTTCAGCCGTATCCATTAAAAAACTAACTTGATTTAAGCTTACATCAGAAGCATCCCACCTTTTCATTATTACGTTCAAATATCAAATTAAGTATTTATACTAAGAATAGGCCGCCAAATTAAAACAAAAACATTGACATTATTTACTGATCAGATTGAATTCGAACGTACTCAAACACTTAAAAAAAACTCATTTTCTTACTATACTTATCACAATAATTTCATAACAAAGTAAAAAATAAAACGCAAAATTACAAAAGTTTTTTATTGAGTTTTCTTATAACAGCTGTACGAAGGAGCGTGGGTTCCTGTGTGTGAAACAAAGGCTAGACTTCATAGGTTGCTTTCAAGCGGATGCTGTGCAGAATCTCCTTGAGCTCCTGAAAAGATAAAATAATGTTTACAACTTTGATCTAAACAGACAGGCTCTTTACATTCTAATAATGCATTTAATATCACAGGGCAGAGGGCACATATAAATGGAATGGCGTGCACATTTATTAACTAGTCTGATGTTCAGGTTCAGCTAAAACCAAAATTATAATCTGGAATTAGTTAATGATATAACTATTTGAGGCCTCTTGTTAAATAAGTAACATTGATAGCACAGCCCGTTTCATTTGCAGGGTGGGCGAGGTTATTGCTACGACCGTTAATATATTCCTCTTCATATTAAAAGTTATAACACGTGTTGTACATGTTGACGCATTTCAGAGAAAGAGATCGTTTGCAAATTCTCTTCGAAAATTATAACAAATATATTGCACATATATAATAAGTTTTCATACAGTGAACCGTGTAATGGATGCACAACACACACGGCACAATGGAGACGACAGGCTGTGTAAAATATGTATCTATTAATCATTGTGTAATGAGGACTCGAAATCCTTGGATCAGAAGTTCAGAACGGTGACAAGCATCCAATTAATTAATTTGGGTGGTAATACTTATATTTAAACACACACGACTTTTTTAATCAGGTCAAAATATTCAAAATTATTTGTCAAGGCTGGGACACATGAAATGTTCAAACAGAGGATTACAAAGTGCAGAGGATTTCAAGCAAACTTGGGTTTAATATCATCAAAAGTCTGATGAATGCACCCTTTATCCTGAAAATTTGGAGTCCCAGTGCACTGTAAGCAATAATTTCTACCATTCTGAGTGACATACAAGTAACAATGGAAATATGGTAAAAGAATTCATGTCATAAATATTTGTCGTTAATATTTTTCTCATTCTTCTGCGCCTTTAGTATTTAATGACTGTGGTTGTTGAAAAAATAGTGATACTCACAAACATTTATTTGCTTCCACGCCTTATAAAAGCTCGACCTTCTGACTGCGCCACACATTCTGTTGCATCTACACCCGACTCTGTCTAACTGCCAAGTGTGCATTCGAGAAGACAGCTCGCACTACGATGAACAACTTGTTGTTATGCAAATAACAACAGTTTTAGCTCATTTTAGGTGAGAGGTTGTTACTGAAACTTTTCACGAATGTTCAATAAACCCAGTGGTGATACCTTCATATGCTCAAAGTCGTGCAAAAATTCGAATTTGTTACAGAGTTATGAGACGTGTCTGGAAAGGAGAATCAAATAATCCTGGGCACCAATAAAAAAATATGTTTTAACACACTTAAAAATATGTCTTTCGAGGGGGAAAAATCCAACACAATACACCTTTAATACGCACAATGATAACCCTTCTCACCTATCTTTGACTTGTGGAATTTCAGAGCCACTGATTGCCTGGGTCCAATCTCTTGCGGCACACTTCCTTCCACCTCCCCCTCAAAAACGTCCCAGTGCGGCGCCCGCAGCGTCCCGTCTCCGTTGTTTGAGATGGAGATGATGCATCCGGTGCCCTCAGAAATCCGGGACGCCAGATATTGTATGCCATTTGGTGCCGTAATACCATTGCGGACCTGACCTATGGTGCCTATCATGAGGTCTAGGATAATAATAATAATAATAATAATAATAATAATAATAACAGTAGTAGTAGTAGTTTTTAAATATACATGAGACATTAAAAATCATTTTACGAACAACAGTCATTGTGCCTAAAAAGGGTTATTTTCATCGCTGTGCGTCAACGTCGTTGCCAAGGTTATTGCAAATAGCAATAGGGGATAAGTTGAAAGACAAAAAGCGAGGTAAAGTACCTTCCTTTGCTTAACGCAATTTCGTCGACCAAAGAAAATAGTCGTCTTTGCTAAGACCGTCTTTTAAAAACAAACAGTCGTCTTTGCTAAGACCGTCTTTTCACAAACAAATAGTCGTCTTTGCTAAGACCGTCTTTTAAAAACAAACAGTCGTCTTTGCTAAGACCGTCTTTTCACAAACAAATAGTCGTCTTTGCTAAGACCGTCTTTTCACAAACAAATAGTCGTCTTTGCTAAGACCGTCTTTTCACAAACAAATAGTCGTCTTTGCTAAGACCGTCTTTTCACAAACAAATAGTCGTCTTTGCTAAGACCGTCTTTCACAAGCATCAGTAATGCGATCTGATTAAAGAGGCGCAAACCGTTTGATGCTGGCAATTTGGCTTCCATTTTCATTTGACACAATTAATCGTTTTAGTTTACTTTATTTACATCACAATGTATGAAGAAAAAACAAATGACACGTACCTCCGTAACCTCCCACACCTGCTATAAACCCACAAGCATACCTAAACAGAAAAATATGCGAATATATATATATTAATTTCTATTGACGTTATCACATTCTGTTGAGAAATAGTGAATAAAATAAATCAAAGATGGCTTGCTTCTCTCGAGCTGTTTGGGATATTAACACTTTTTGTCCCTATTCAAGTGATTTTGTGAATTTGTGTGATAACATTGCCTAACACTCCACATGACGGGTAAATGCACTTTATTAATTACAAAGTTTATGCTTTTGTTTGGTATAAAAAAGAGTGGCCTTGAAAAATGTCGATCAAGTGTAAATACTTCTAATGGATCTGTTTACAATAATTATTTGTAATAATTCACAATAATGATGTCTGGATGATTTCTGTGAAAATTGGGCAATTTAAGGCTCCAGGTGTTAGTTGTTCGCTCTGCTTTAACTCTTATTAGTCCATTATGCCTTTAAGCGAACGGTGACACGGAATTACATATAATTTTCATCGTAGTTTGTGATACTGTCACAAAAATTATGCCCGCATGTTTACGTTGTGCCAGTATGACTTCTGCGAAAAGCGGACAATTTATGTTGACAAGTGTTTATCATTGTTTGAATGTAGTTCAGTACTGCTACAATGTAATAGTCGACTAGTGTGCACCTGTGCGTGTGTGTGTGTGTGTGTGAGAGAGAGAGAGAGAGAGAGAGAGAGAGAGAGAATGAGAGCGAGCGAGAGAGAAAAAGACAGAGAGAATGTAAAATTCAGCATGCGTAAAAAAATCAACATTCTGCGGAAGAAACAACATTCGATTTACAGGGGAAAAAACAATAGACTCACAACAAAACGATCCCGATCGCCATGATATGACTTCTTCACTATTTATCTCCAAACAGCTTCTTGACTGAAAGGTAAAGAAATTACGTCTCTGATCTAGTTCACGTGTCGTTTGTCACACATCCTTAAACCTTTAATGGGTCGTTTTCAATNAAAGCAGCATCAGCGGTTTAAATGATCGCTATCTCGGTTCCTTTCTCCTTGACAGCAACATGGTAAGTGTTAAGGGAGGCACACAACGACCCGACATTGTTTTGTCTTCAGCATTTCCTCCTCATTGTTTACTGCAATTAATCAATTAATGGAACATGGCGATTAAGGCTTCGTTCACATGCAATGTCTATTTTCTAAATTCTATTTTCTATTCGCGCTATCTTATGATCACGGTCTGTGCACTGAATATCCCGCCGCGTAATTACTGGCAGCGCGAGCCAGTTACGTTGTGTGCCTCCCAGATCTAAAGTAGGTCGATCTAATCTATGGAAATGGGGTGTTAGATTATATTATGCAATAAGTGGTATCATACGTGCCTTAGATATTCAGTGTGTGCAACATCAAGTGACGCAAAAAAGACAAACTATAATCAAGGAGGTGCGTCTTTGTTTATTGGGGAGGGGGGAGGGGGGTAGTGGTATTTGTATTGGTATTCGGATAAAATTAAAAATGTCCAGAATAAAGTACATGTAGGTTCTCTGGTAGTTGATTATTCATGATGATTTTTCCTGCTTAAAAAGGAATAAATAAAATTAATGAATAAATAAATAGGGTCTAAGGGTGGTTTTTTTCCAGCCACCTTAATCCTAAGCGCAGGGAGCTCATCCTTTTCTCAAATAATTTATATCTAAAACGTAAGTTATTATGTAGCAGGCCAAAACCTAAGTCAACCGATGCCCAAATTTAAGACATATTTTCCCTTTACACCTCTTCTCAGTAGCTGTTTTTTCAAGAATGGACTGCACAAGCTTCTCTCCCACCCCCACCCCCCAACACACACACACACACACACACACACACACACACACAAAGACACACGTTTGCAACTAAAATTTGCATTTTACTCGTTTGCTTTAAATTGAATAAAAATTGAATGAGTTAAATTAATATATAAGTATTGTATGTTGTTAACTCTAGAGTATTGATTCCAAATTTTAACTAGAAGTCTGCATATAACAATATAACACCCTGAGTACGTAAGGGACTAACCTCACGTACTAGTACGTGTCTTGCTTCCAGTAACACGTGTCTTGTTTCAGAGTTTACTTTGGATTAACCTCTCGTTCTTGCACCTGCTTTGTTTCCAGTAACACCCTGCGTTTCAGAGTTAACTTTGGACGTACCCCAATTGTCAGCACGCTTGTGCCTACTCGTAACACCCTGCGTTTCAGAGTTTACTTGGGAATACCTCTGATATCAGATATTTATGTCTTGATACTTCTTTTTGACAAAAGATAACAAAAAAGGGAAAAAATGCTCAAAAGTGAGTTTGGAGTTTGTTCTGTTTCTTTAGTTTCGGATAATGTGTGTACAGCATGGTCGTGCAGGACACTTAATGTGCTACATGTATTATCCTTTGTATAGGCTTGACATCTTTGGCAATGGCTGTTTATTTATTTATTTATTTATTTATTTATTTATTTATTTATTTATTTATTTTTGTGTTGCAAAACATGAGAACGAGTGCTTCTATCTTTATCCTAATGCAGGTAGGTAAAAACTCCAGATAGTCTGGGATCCTGCAGCGCTGATTCCTCTTATGTAGCCTCGAAAAAATTTGGTATTAGGTAATCGACGTGCCAAACGTGTTGCGCAACATTATATATTGCATCCTAATAAAAGAAGGAGTAGCGCTATCCAATTTCTGCCGCAAACTTTATGGCCGCATTCACAATAAAAGTTGATCTGCAAACTAACAGATCCGGGGATCAAATATGGAGATCCACTTGAAAGTTTGCTGCATAATCCCCTAACAGACATTGAATAGGTACCCGGGGGGGGGGGGTTATGCGGCAAGTTTTCTAGTGGGTTGATCCTATTTGATCCGAGGATCTGTTAGTCGACGGAACAACTGTGTTGTGAATGCGTCCTCTGTTGCAAAATGATATATAATCGGCATATAATGCTGTTCTGCAGCAGCACGTTCTCTACTGAAAAAAAAGAGCTGCTCTTTGCAAATATGCAAGATGCACCGATATCAACGCAAAGCAGCATCTTCAACGCTTCCCAAATATGTATCAAAAATGAACGCGGCGATCAAGATTAATTAGCTTGCACCTTTGGCTCAAGGCGGGCCGGTGTGTAAGTAATAAATGGTGTGAATGTAATTAATAGAATTAACAGTAATGAAAAGCGTTATGAAAGTAATAGTAACTAAATAAAAATTTAATAATATGGTTGTCTAAATAGTAGTACTTCTGGTATTACATGTAGTTAGGATAATCATAGTGAAAGTAATAATAAGAGAAATGATAAATCTTTCAATAACATAAATAGTGATAGAAAAAAATAGTAATACGAAACGAGTAGTAGTAATGATAAAAGTGACAATAATAAGATTAACAATGATAAAGCATCCTATAGCTAAGTTATTTCAGTGTGTTTACGGTGTGTTTAAAGGTCCCACATTACTTTGTACAGGCAAAGACGCTGTAATAACTTTTCGGTACAGGTGACATTCGTCCATATACTAAGCCCAATACTCCAACAAGCTCTACCCTGTACTAATCATGTAGGACCACGGACCTCTTTTTCTAGGACTTCCATTCCTGTCACAACGACCATAGTTATCAGAGAAGACAGAGAAGACGTGAAGTGTGTTAGCAGCCTTTTTCGCTTAATGATTGAGCTAAAATGAGAAAAATCAGATTGAAAAACATATTAGTGATGTTTCTGATAGATTGAGAGCTTTGATCTCGGCGCAAAGGCAGGTATGTTTTACATGATGCAAAGCAGAAACAGTAAACGTCTAGCGAAATCTGAAATTTTCTTTTTCTGAAGTGAAAGTATGAGAAAAGATAACCGTTGTATTATAGTATGCATAATGGATGACGCATTCTTTGAAATATGCGGATGTAGCACCAAAAGGCAAGACAGTAAGTAGTAAATGGTAGAGATAGAAAAAAAAGGTCAGAGAGAGAAAGAGAAAAAAAGAGGCAGGCGGCGTGTGAGGAGCTTAGAGGTGACTTTGCAAAAATAATAGAAATGTCTTTAAAATTATATCTGAGAAAAAAATATAACATTTATCCTGGGGTATCAAGATCGTCAACTGGAACTGGAACGAGACCGGGTGAAAACAGACACGTGTCTGGAATTGTGTTGAGGATCTTGAGTCTTTATTCTGGATTGCTGACAGCATCGAGTAAATAAAAAAAAAATCTCTGCTCGATAGGAAAAAATTCAAGCTGTCGTTAATGCATAAAAAGCTGTAAAGCATTCATTTTTTCTTTTTTTATTTTTCAATAAACAAGATGTAAGTTTTTAATAATCCAGACTGACTGTTTAAAATACATATTTAACGTTTAATTAATGGAGCCGCTTTGAATTTGCAAAAGAAAAGAAATGATAAAGTAGGCGAGTAGTCTACATGGTGCCTAGCTACATCATTTGGATTGGCAATTTTCGCTAATATATACCGGGTATCTATTTAAGGAGCTCGTGACAAAATTTCTGAGTATTATTCCACATATAAGTAGAAAAAAGGAGAATAGCAATTATTATTATTCCCATTTGTTTGCACTTGAAAAGTTTAACAAAGTGAGTAATGTTACGTTGGCAAATGTTCAGAAATCAGAGTTGTTAGACCCTTTCGAGTAAAACGATTTTTTTTTTTTTTTTGGTTTGCTTGTTTTAAGGCAGGTAGCAATGAAGAAATTTGTGTTTTCAACCATTAAATTCTCTCTCAAAATCGACTGTTAATCTATATGCTCAGGTATTTGAAACATGGAAGCTTATTAAACAACACAATGGCGTGAAGGGAAGAACATGCTTTATTGGTCATCACTCATGGCGGCACCGGAGGGACGGGAGTTTCAATTTAAACCTCAATCTGAATCTTTTTAAATATCAGTCATTAGATATGTCTTATTTTGGTAATTCGAGTAAACACACACAGTCGATTATAACATAGGTCAATGTGAGAAATGAAAATATTTGCTCATTACGCTAATACAAGAAAATTAAAAAAAAAAAACAAGCAAAAAGGGGGGAGGGATACAACCACTTCCAGATTATGATAATGAAAAATAAATGAATTAAATGAATGGATGAACTTTCAAATAAACAATAAGACAAAATCCACTCTAAAATCATCTAAATTTTTTCATTATTTCTAAAGTTACGCGACAAATTTATTTTAAAATCTGTTCCACAATAAAATCAGCATACTCGTCGCCCTTCTTTTTGGTCACTTCCGGTGAAGAGGTATCGGTAACGAGGCCGAGGCAGGAGCAGTTGCACTCAGAGAAAGTGAACCGCTGATCCGGTTTGCCGTCCACGGGGATCCGGCCCTCGGGGGCTTCGGTTGTATCATCCGGGATGCAGTCTATAGACCACCAGTACGGGAGCTCCGGCATCTGCATAATGCCCCGGATTTTACGCGCCCAGCCTTCCAAAGTGTTTGCCACGGCCGTGTAGGCCTCTCTCCCTTTGGTCTCGTAGATGGCCCCGGAGCGGAGGGTGGCACAAAATGCTGTCTCGTCTACCGGTTTCTTGACGATCACTTCCATCACTCTGTCCTTGCTCAACAAGAACCGGTACTCCCCGCTCGCTATGAGTGGCAGAAAAGGCATACTGATGGCTTCCTTCCCGAATGACTCTCGGAAATCTCGGACGACATCCTTGCGGGGTTTTTCTTCAGTTTTCAGAGCGTGAGCGTCCGTGATTCGAACGGTGTTCGCGTCGATGTTCTCCAGTTTCCAGATCCCAGAACCGGTGCTTCCGAGTAGGGTCTTCAGCACGCGGTTGGTTCCGTTCAGAGGTAAAATGCTATCAATCTCGTTGTCGTCTTCAAGGGCATGGTATCGCACCCCCGGGACTCCTAATTCGGTATTCTGGAGGTAGTATAAAGCGATCTTAGATCCCAAGGAACCCATATGGTCGGGAAAAGGTCCAACTAGGAGTTTCTCGCGTGCAAGGTCTGCTAGAAGCCGTAGGTAGTTGTGAAGCTTAAGGTCCTCGTAGTCGCCGGGATTTACGCGTCCGAGAAAGTGCGTCTCCGGGTAGTCCTTTGTGAGGCTTTCAACGGTGGTGGCGTCGGTGATGTAGATGATTTCCGAGGGGATGCCCTTTCGAATGAAAGCATCTCGAAGCCATGGTGTGTCCCGGCGATATTTTCGATCACTCTCGACGTGTTTGTCCGGCGAAGATTTGCATTCGAGGATCAAGACCTTTTTAATGACCATGGCTATGGATGAAATTTGACGTAGATTTTTTTTTTTTAATTTGAAAGAAAGAAAAAGAAATAGCTCTACCTTAATAATCTTTCACTGGTAGAAATACGCAGAAACTGAGACCCGTTACGTTTGCTCTCCGATTTTGGTATTTTCAAAATATAGAGGAATATGTTACGTTGCCGATATCAGTCCAGTTGATGTTGAATTCTCTCTAGATATTTGTCCCCGTTCTTCGTATGTCCAGCAAAGCTTTGGCTTTTGTCTTCTCGGTGATACCAGAACGAACCTTTCACTTTGAACTCAAGATATTTTATATCCAAAAGAAATATATTGCAACCGCTCTTGTAACTTTTTTCCTCTTTGTAGAGAGCCGACGTCGTTCTTCGATCTGGTAGGTGGTTGCTATTGGTCAAAGTTGCCTCTAATGATGTCGATGCATAATACTTTAGAATTATCTTTTCTTTCTTTCGTTTTTGATGTTCTTAGTCCTCAAATTTGCCAATAGAATGCAGTTATATCGCCCAGAAAGAGATAACAAATAACGGAAAATGGCGGCGATTTGCCTCTCCCAGAAAATGATTTTCACATTTTCATACATTAGCAAAGGTCTACTCTAATATGGTAGTGGAGGAAGGGGGGGGGGCACTATCAATGGAGAAATAAGTTAAGAAAACGAGCACAACGAGGCAGCAAAATCCGGAAAAATGTTTCTTTTTTTTTCGCAAATAAACGCTTTGAAAAAGTTCCCTGAATTCTGCGAATTGCATTAGTGCATGGTCCACATTTTAGACTTAAGTTAATAACGAATAAAGTTTGAGCATTTTTAAAAATATTGCGTGTTAAGGTCATAGAAGCACATCCAGAACAATATTTATTTGGAATAAAGTGATTCTTTAAAAGTCCTGCCTCCTCTGTCTTCAGTCAATACCACGAAAAATAGAGCTAGTAATCTAAGAAAAAAAAAAACTGGTTTGATATGTGCCTCATGTATTGAGCAGAACCCCCCTGGGCTCATCCAATCTAAGAAGGGCGTGTCAAAGATCACGTACGCAGTGTAACATTTATCTGAAATTGGTAACAATACAAATGCGCATGCGCATACGGAACATTTTGAAAATCCTTGTTTCGGGCAAATAAATATATTTCACAAAAATACAACAAATAATATTATTAAGCGACATCACGGAAGAATATGTGTTGTTTTCTCACAACTTTTATTTTATCAAACATCTTCCAACGTTTCAAGAAAAAAAGTCACCAAAATACCCAATATACCTTAAAAGTTTTGAACATTTGGAAATATATGCATGTGCGGGATATCAGTAGTTTGTTGCATATGTCTGTCACTGAAAATACATGTTCTGGCAAGAAAAGAAAAATAACACAAAGCCCCCCGATAAATTCATTGTAATGTTGCCAGATCACTCGAGGGTCGATTCGAGGCCTGTAACGTAACAGGATTACGTAAAATGAATGTTGCACCTGTAATACAACGAGTGAAGCATATCTTTATGTCAGAAGATTTAGCTTGATCAGAGGTAGACAAATTTTATGCTGTTTGAGCTTGGGCCAACATTCGAGTAACGTTATTTCGTGAAATCGGCCCCCGTAACGCCCTGTAAATCCCTCATGTCACTCCATATACGGCTCCACGCTTTCACTTGCTATACGATCTCAATTTAGTCGAAGTAACCTATTACATCACTTCAAAATACCCACGTTTTAGGCACATAGTAAGTATATACGGCATTTGCGAAATAAATTCGCACAAGGTAAATAATCCCCCTCACAAAAAAAAAAAAAAAAAAAAAACCTTATGTTTGTAATACTTAAAATACTCGTACAGAATTTTTGACAAATTAGATGGTTTTGCATCAAACAATAAGTCAGAAAGGACATTGAGAATTGAAATTGAGAATCGTAAAAAAAGAAAAATATAACAAAAGAGAGGCGCATTATTCTTAAGAAATTACCGTGCTTCTGCCCTCATCAGTTCTTCCTGTAGTCCGTAGTCCTACATGTAGGCCTACATACAGAGAACTGGGAATGGTATATAATTTGATTATTTTCAAGCGCAGATGAGCTTCGGAACTCAAACGCTCATATATACATATGAACAAAATACAAATTTCTCTACGAAGACAATTTTCGTACAAAACTCGAGTCGGCTTACGAACAGTGCTTCTGGAAACGAAATCGTGGGTGGCCATGTATTTGCGTCAATACGTACGTGTTTTCATACGTGAGTGGTGACTAATTTGCCCTTCGCTATTTTTGCGAAATACTGGAGAGTATTACCTCATTCTAGATGCCAAGAAAGTGAAAGGTGTTACTTTGTGGTGTTAATATAAGAGAAAGGGGGAATCTTAGAGAAACGTGAAAAACGTGGTCCTGCTTCTGATCTCAACAAGCAGTACAACATGGTGAAATCGACGACCTTGAGCTGGGGTACGAATTGTTCGACCATGAGGAGAAATGTTTATGGTTTTTGCTGCATTTAATTTCAACAATTTGATCATTTCTTTCTTTCTCCGAAGCACAGAAATTTCAATCATATTTAAATACAAGCAAACGAAACAATTCGGCAAACGTTTGTCCCCTCTTGACTAACTAATCTACTGTCTGCAGACAGATAGCTCTCTTCTGAAGCAATGTATTGCGTCGTTCAGAAATTGCTGTAGTGCGGCCCCCACATCCCCGTGCATTTTATTTTTTTATTGCACGTGAATTCAAATAAATGAATAAACACAAACAACTCGTGACATTTCCAACTTCAAATGGTTTTATTCTAAATATTTTATATCTACACAAACAAGCAACAATTGCATTTTAATGCAAAAACAATTGGCGTATTCACATATACAGCACGATATGATGTCATCAAGTATAATTGTTCTAAAACAAAACTAAACAATATTATTTTACAAACTGAACCATCTGATTACTATATCTATATTCCCATACCAAACAATAAATAGGTCCATTATTTTGTAAGAGCACATACGGTATAAAATATAGATAAATAACTTATAAAATCTTCGTGCTATTTTCTTTCACTGTTAAAGTTTGTTTTCAACAGACTTTTAAAGATAAAGGAAAAAAAGTTCTATAAATAAAGCAATCTACTATAAAATTTCCACTGTTGAATCATGATCGAGATTTAAACCTTCCTATAAAAGAAAACAACTCCAACGTAATAAATAGCACAACCATCAAAACTAGAATTTTCTCCATAATCTAGTTTGTTCACAAATTTCATCAGAATTGCCCACATAATTCTTGTATGTTCCATTGTCTAAAATTACCATTGCATTATTCTTGATCATTTACCACGATAACCGAAAGCTTTGTGTGTGAATGTGCGCACGTGTGCGTACGTGTGTGTGTGTGTGCATGTGCGTGCAAGCAAATAAGTTAGAGGTAGATTGTATGTATGAATGCACGTACGTGAACATGTGTTGAACGTGCGCACGTGTGTATGCATGCATGTTTCCACACATCAAATTTGCTTGCCTTCAACAAAACAATATCAGCGACAAAACATTTCCATCGCCGTCTTTCAGCAAACACACGAAGGACGTAGAGCCAAAATTTTAGGATGACCACCTCTTAATACTGCCCCATGGTCCAGTGGGGAATCTGACCGGTGGACATGTCAATGGGTCCAGCCAGGTGACCATGAGGGGGCAAGAGGTTCGGGTGCTGATGGGGGTGAGGCGGCGGCATCTGGTTCGTCACGGGCTGCATCAGCGCCGTGCGTATTGCCGAGACTGGCAACTGCCCCGAACCCGTCATGTGACTGGTCATCACTTGGCTGGTCGCTATGGAAGAGGGCTGTTGATGCTGTTGGTGCTGCGGTTCTTGTTGTTGTTGCTGTACGTGTTGTCCCAACGTCACGTGCTGCACGGAGAGGATTTGGTTGCCGGCGTACATGGGCACGGGCGAGCAAGACTCGATATGAGGTTGGTCGGCAACGCTGGCGATCTGCTGCTGTCCTGAAACGACCTGATTGGACAAATGACTCAATTCAGACGACACTGCTTGCACGGTCTGGGTCGCCAACATCTCCAGGGCAGAACTAAACACATCCGCCGTGCGCATGGAGACGTCGGACAAAAGAGGGCGCTTCGGAACCTCCTTGACGACATCCGTCCGCGCCACCTTCAAATACTTCACCTCCACTCCTTTGTGTTTATGCAGGCAATGTTTGCGAACGTTCCCCGATATTTTACACCTAAAATCACAATACCCGCATTTAAAGGGCTTCAAATCTCTGTGCGTGTGCATCACGCGAATGTGCTCCTTCAGGTGATAATTATCCGCCGTCACGTGATCGCAGTGGGGGCATTTCACCTTCTTCTCCGTATGAACCCAGCGTATGTGTTTAGCCAGCGTGCGGTCGTGAGCAAACGTCTTCCCGCAGATGTTGCAGACCATGTCGCGGATGTTGAGGTGTCCCTTGATGTGTCGCTCGTGGTGTTTCTTCCGGGTCGTGGTGTAGCCGCAGATGTGACACTGGTAGACTTTGATCTTGCTGTCCAGTCTCTGGTTGTGTCTGGCTAGAACGTGACCTAGGAGTAAACAAATTCGCCCAATGAGATTTATGATTAGAAAAGAACATAGCCTAGAAGTAAACAAATGCACCCAATAAGATTTATGATTAGAAAATAACATGACCTTGAAGTAAACAAAGTTACCCAATAAGATTTATGATTAGAAAGAAACATGGCCTACAAGTAAACAAATACTCTCAATTAGATTTTTGATAATAAAAGAACATAAACCAGATGTAAGGAAATTCACCCCATCAGATATATGATAAAAGAAGAGACAAATACAGCCAATCAGTTCTATGATTACAAAAATAAAAATAAATGTTAAGAAAAGAACTTGGCCCTCGAAAAGGTTTAATTGCAATAACTCAAATTTCCAAACCCCAAAAATATTCTTTCCAAAATAAAACCAACTAATTTTTCAAAAACTTTAACATCAATATCTTAAAGCAATACTAAATCAAAGCATTGCTTTGAGGCATATATTTATTTATTGAGTACTAATCCTATCCATCACTTACTCGCCAAATCTGCCTTGCTGACGGTGGAATATGAACAGTGTTCGCATATGTAAGGTTTATCCGTGAGGTGACGCGCCTCGTGAGTTTTCAGCTCGTGTTCCTCTCCGTAAGATGCTCCACACACTTGACACAAGTAAGGCCTTATGTTCAGGTGGCGCTTGTTGATGTGCTTCTGTAGGGTTCTGAAAAAAATTCAAAACAATAATAATAATAATAATAATAATATTAATACTTAGTTTATTATCTGATTCATCTTGTATTGTGGTATCCCTTAAAAGGAAAAAAAGACTAATATTGAAGGTTTGAGAAATAGCATTTTGGAAGCATATTACTTTTCACAAAATATCCACTGTGAAAAAGGAATTTTCTGAAAATTCTTGCAATTTGCTCTTATGACCAAGGTATGTTCTATCCAAAACTGTTCAAAAAAATTACATCCAACAGACCCTTTTTCAAGTTCAAGTTTTCTCAAATAAAGGCCTAAAGATCACTGTATACATTTAAACCCATCTCAACTTCTCCTACTTACTTCTCCGTTTTCACGCAGCGACCACAGTAAGGGCAGTTGAACGGCTTGTCCTTCTTGTGCTTGGTGGCGTGTAGTTTTAGACTGTTGCTTGCTGTCGTTTCATACTCACAACCTTCTTCTGGGCACTTGAAAGTCTGAAAGAATATAATTTGAACAAAATCAATGTTTAAAATGATGGGGAGTATTGTACTTGTACCAATGAAAGATAAAATGTTTATGATAGTTTTAAGGTTACTGGTTGTAATAGTCTTAAATTATAATAAGCAGTAATCCTAGGACCTTTCCCCATTTGAAAATTTCTATCACTTTGATATTTATTGAAACACATTATTTCAGATTTCCTGACTTTTTTACAAATTTCAAAAAATAAAAAATAAAAAATAAATAAATAAATATAAAATAAATCTTCAGAAAAGCGGCAAAAGTTCAATTCTTCCAATTTACAGTCAAGGCACAATCAGACAAAATGAACACTCGACTGCTTGTTGGTGCACATATAAAATAAATTAAAAAAAAAATAAGTAAACAAACAAACAAACTAAATAAATAAATAAATAAGACCTACCCTCAGCCCATCCCCTCGAACTTCATGCTTATTAAACATGTGAATTCTAAGATGGTAGCGTTTGCGATACTTCTTCCCACACAGCGTGCACACGACACCCATGCCTCGCTCGTGTCGTAGAGTGTAATGGCGGCGTACGTCCATCTTAAGGCAGCTCTTGTATGTACATCCCAAATATTCACAATTAAAGACCACTTCTGGGTGCACCTGGAAACGTCACAGAACAACCTTATAATTTCATTTCACCATCACTTCAGAAATAAATAGTAATAGCATAAAAAGATCCAAACTATTATTATTATTACAGCCATTCCACGAAAAAGGGTACAATTCTGAATAATACCTGTCGCAGCTTATTTTCGGTAGTAAAAGCATCTGCAATTTTGCTTTTTTTAGCCTTTTTTAGCAGGACCCGATGTGTTCTACTTAAGAAANGATAGTAAGCAAAACAACCCGTTGTAACCATTTGCCATTTAATGGTTTGAATAAACATGTTTTATCAATTTTTCTATGTTATTATGTAAATTTGTCGTATCTGTAATACTTTAAATTCCGAATTCATCTTCTAAAGTCTACCATAAGCTAAAAATATCAAAACAAATATATGATCGCTGACCAATGTAGAATGACCTAACCTCCGTTACGAAATTACTCCTTTTTCATTTGAACACTGGATAAGTGTGTGCTCATAGATCAATGCTAATATCATAATACATTGATAGCACTTTGTTCATAAACAAATAGTATGATAAAAAAGCAAGTCTGTCCCCAACGATTAATAAAATATTTAAATTGGACTATCTCAGCCTTTGTATTTATAGAAAACGAGCCACTTATTACCAATGTGTTTGCACCGCATTTTCTATAATTGAAGAGAAATCTTAAATGGGCAATAATATTTTGAATACATACAAATTCTTAATGATTGAATCAAATATGGAGCCTGTGGCCTTTGGCATGATTGAAATATAACCTAATTTAGATGTTACCTAACCTCCGTAACGAAAAAAATACTGTACCATGTTTACACGTGCATATTTCTTTAAATACAGTAATGGTGTGGGTTAAAATTCTTCTACTACTTTCTGAATACCTCTTCATCAAAATAATATAAAAAGTTTTCCAGTTTTTCAAAGTTCATATCGCTGCATTTCTTGTTTTGGAATTGTACCCCTTTTCGTGGAATGGCTGATTATTATTACCTCCACCAAGGAGGTTGTTTTTACCCCTGTTTGTCTGTCTTTATGTCTGTGTGTCTGTTTGTCATCAACATAACTCAAAAAGTTATGGACCGATTTTGATGAATTTTCAGGGTAGGTGGGAAATGGGTTAAGTGATTAGTTTTTGGTGGTGATCCGGATCAATAATCAATCAATAATCAATAATAACAAAAAAGCGCTGCCTTGGCGGGGGTCTGTACTCTCGGACTGCTTTTCTAGTTATTATTATTATTATTATTATTGTAATGAAGTATACTGCTTTCCTATCACCTATACACTGTCACAATATTTAAGAAAGATCCTAAAGGTGCACATAACATGAAATATACTGCTTATGTAATATATGTATGTTGCCACAACCTATTATAATATAGAAAATCCTGGGTATTTTTATGAACTTTAAATTTTTTTGCCCACTGTAGCTATCTATAAACAAGATTCTAATTTTGTGCATAAATTCATATAAAATATACTGCTTAGATATATGTACACTATATGTACACGGTCATCACCTATTAATAAGATACTAAATGTGTATTGATACATATAAAATATATTGCTCTTTAATCCTATGTACAATGTCAGTAGATCATGCTTCTGTATAAGCAATGTAAAATTTGTATAATTCAACCCTCTTTTGCCCCCCCCCCCCCCTCTCTTCTCCAATTTAACAATAATATGAAATAATAATTATAATAAGCCTGGAAAATTCAAATTTGTTAACCTTAATTCTAAAATCAAGGGACCCTTACCGTCTCTACGTGAATCTTCAGTGTTGGTGTGCTGTCCGTGCTAAATGTGCAACCCTGAACGTCACATCTGAACGATCGCAACTGCAAGTTGTTCTTCCTGATTGGCTGATTGAGATTGTGAATATCATGTAGGTGGCGCTTCAAGTCTCCTCGTCGCAAGAACATCTGCTTGCAGATCATGCACAGGACGACTGTAGGAGAAGGAGAAAAACATAGAAAAGTAAAATATAACTTCTGCAAGTGGACTTTACTGTCTTAAATCTTTGGATTTTATGTTAAGATTGAGAATTTCTAGACTTCTATGGTCAGTTTCTCTCTCTAGGTGAATAAACCAGTGCATTAATCTTAAACCTTTAAAGGGATAATAACTCTTCGTGTGATATCTATATTTCACAATAAAAACATTGTGAACAACTCATAGAAATATAACATATTCTGTTTTACCACAAAAACGGCAGTTATAGCTATTATTCAGATATCTGAGCTTGTCTTCAGATCACGTGACCTCCACTGATGGCTGTACTCAGTTATAATCTCTTAAGAGATTTTAACAAAAAACCAAACTGTTTAGAAAAAAACCAGGGACTAACTTTGAATGTAAAAATGGATTCTCCAGGAAAATTCATTTTTTGGCCAAAACGAAGAGTTATTATCCCTTTAATTTATCTGGATATGCGCAAGACTGAAAGACTTGAGCTTTCAGATGCCACATATTGCAATCATTTCTTCACAGCATGAAAATAACTACACAAGATAATGGAGATGCTGGCTGGCTGTCATACAAGTTTTTCAATGCACAAATCCAGAGAAACTAAAGGAAAAAAATTAAGACAGATAATTTCTACTTAAATTAAGAGTTACTTAGTCCCTCTATAAAATTTTTGATAATGATTATAAAGACCTCATTAAAAGTCACATTATTTGTCAAAATTTCTTGTTATATTTACACTAAAGGTTCGTATTGTATTTGGGTGTGTGTATGTGTGTGTGTGAGAGAGAGAGAGAGAGAGAGAGAGAGAGAGAGAGAGAGAGAGAGAGAGTATGTGTGTGTGTGTGTGTGTGTGTGAGAGAGAGAGAGAGAGAGTGTGTGTGTGTGTGTGTGTGTGTGTGTGTGTGTGAGAGAGAGAGAGAGAGAGAGAGAGAGAGAGTGTGTGAGTTTGCATGCCTGCGTGCCACATGCAGACATGCATTTACCCACCTCCGTTTTCTCCTTCCTCACAGGCGCAATTATGGCAGTCCGACACATGCATGTTCAACAGTTTGGGCAGCGGAAACTCCAGTTCACAGAACATGCACTTGTGGCTTCCCCTTTGCTCATTTTTCACTCCATGGAACTTGATCATATGAATCCGCAAACGATTTTCCGTGGTGTACCTCCTGAAACAAGCCCCGCACTTGAATTTACTGACCCGCCTCAGGCGTCGCCGCCATCTTAAACTAGGCTGCTCTCCTCCGAGCTTCTCGATGTCTTTCCCCATAGCTCCGTGTTTGGTAAACTCGTGACTTTTTCTGGATTTCTTGTACAAAAAGACCCGTGGGCAGAGCCTGCATTTAAGCAACATTTTGTCTCCGCTGAAAGGCGTGAAGTTATGTTTAACCAGTTGATGTCTTCGTAGGTGAGTTAACGTTGAGCATTCCTTAAAACACAAACGGCACACTCGGTGGACGTGTTTCAAGTGTTTTCGTTTGATATGCAACGAGGCACTGGACCACGTTTTAAATGTCCTGTTGCATGTCATACACATGTTTGATGTCCCTAATTCTTTCTTGATGCTTAAGAAATGTGTAAGTATGGACTGCTTTTTTAATTTGTCGGCCAAGTCGGTGGATGAGATTCTATGGTCTTGATGCAAATGTCTGTTCAAGAGGGAGTGATATTCAAAATGCCTTTTGCAAATTCGACAAGAACACTTCTGCTTCCTTGTGAGCTTGGATTCTGGGATTTTTACCCCTTTCGGTTCCCACTCCTTATCGGAGTCATCAACATCCGAGTCATCATCATCATCAGTATCATCCTCAGTCCTCTTACTCTCGATGCTTTTTCTATTACTTTCCAATTTTTCATTGTTGGTCTCAGGAGGGCTGGCTTTTGCACTTTTTCCACCCTTTAGCTTCTCCTGCCCCTTTTTACTCGGTTTCCTTCCTGGGGTTTTTGGAGTGTCCTTGACTTCTGCTGGCGTGTCCTTTGCTGCTTTCTTTTTCGGCCGACCTCTGCTTCGTGGAGTGTCTGAAAAAATGAGCATGATCAGTAGTTTAAAAGTAACAGAAACAAATTTTTTGTTCAAATGCTAAAAATTAGTTTTTACCACTCCAATAATTCATCTGTACCAAGGAATACTAGTCTTGTAGATGCTGAAATGTTGCAGGTGTAATAACTCTGATTTTAGCTGTAGGTAAGATATGTTTCCATAGATTTTAGATCGATCTATCCCTGTGGGGAGTCTCACTAGATTACTGTCAGCTTAGCCGGCTTAAGAGTCTATCCCGCCTAATAAAAGCTGTAAAGGGGTAATTAACTTTGGTGGGCACTCGGCTGACTGCAATTTAGCGTGAACCCCAGGGAGTTAGGTCGATCTAAATTTTAATCTCTGGATCGATCTAAATCTCTGGGAATAGACCCTTATTCTTACTAAAAAAAAGCAGAACACAGCTGATAAATTTCTTTGCTGGATCAGCAGTTTACTAGTATATGTTTTTATGTGCGTTAACATCTCCAATAGCCGATCTAATTTGTTTCCCTGCTTCTAAGTGTCATGTAACACATGACACCTTAATGTATATTGACGTGCTGGTGCTGAAATTCAAGCAGTGCTGGGAATGAAATTCATGCTTCTGTACATGATAAGTCACAGATGGTTTCATCTGTTTTCTATTTTAATCAGTTATTCATTCCAATTTCATCTTTTACATATAATACACAGTAAAGAGGGCATATAACTGCAATGTCTTTATCATTTTAAAACTGGAAGTACCAGACCCAACTAATGACAAAGAATCATATACTAGTAAGCATATAACTGACTTCACATATGATCAAAAATCATGTGCCCCTCTAACATGAAAATCTGACTCCCCCAGTCAAAATTTCATAATGAAAATCTGACTCCCCCCATGAAATTTTGACTAAACTAAATCTTATTTTATTTGAGTATATAACTTTTATTATATAGTACGCATAATGGAAGATACATTGGCACTTTTTGAAAATTTTCATGAGAAAAAAAGAAAATTAAATTGTGTATTTTTCCACTCAATGACTCCTATGAAAAGACTATGGGAGTCCATGTCCTGCAAGTAGTAAGATGAATACTTGTTTCAAAAATTATCAATTTTCACCACAATTTTCTCCACATAACTTTCAAATATTAACAAAATATATGTCACAATGCAAACCTTGTAGAAAACAATGGTTTGGTGACTAGATATAAAATAGGGCCTTTTCTTCATGAGTGTCCGAATCCCATGGGTATGAATATGAAGATTTTTTTTTATGATTTTTTTTTTCATTTTTTGCACCCAATATTTTACCACCAAACTTTCAAATATTTCCAATATATATTCTTCATAAAGTATACGTAAGGAAAAATGTTGAAATGATCACCAAATATCAAATAAATAGCTTTTTTATAGGGGAGTCATTGGGTGGTAAAATACACTTTTTTAATTTCCTTATTTTCTTATAAAATTTTCATCTGCAAACTAGCAAAAAGTGCCAATACAGCCTCCATTATGTATACTACAGTATAAAAGTTATATACTCAAATAAAATAAGATTTATAAAGTTTTGTGGGGGGGGGAGTCAAAATTTCATAGGGGGAGTCACATTTTCATAATGAAAATTTGACTGGGGAGTCACATTTTCATAATGAAAATCTGACTGGGGAGTCACATTTTGGGGGAGTCAGATTTTCATGGTACACCCCAAGCAGTACATTATAGCCAGGTCCACTGTAATGATATTGAAATACCTTTAAGTGCATTGGCCTCTTTCCTGATCTTTTCCTGAGTCTCCGTATACTCTTTACACAGTCTGACAGCCTCCTCTATTTTCAGCTGTTCTGCTGCTTTCTGAATCAGTCCCAGATTAGACTCAGTCAGCTGCAGTGTTCCTGTGTACATAAAGTCCAGGAGGATCTTTAGCTGACTGGCTGGCATGCCTTGAAAAGAATGGATGTACTCATATTTTTTATATTTATGGTAATTCATTCTTGTCCGTTTTAATTCATTCATTTATTTCACTATCTCTATTCTCTTTTATTTCCTTAATTCAGAATATATATTAAACATTTACCAACTGACTGACATGAAATTCAATGTATTTCTCAGATCTTAAGAGATGACCATTTCTGAGTGATTAGTAAGGGCTTTTTTTAAAAACACGTCTCAATGTCCAGTCTCAATGACCATTCGTACTGACCAGTCATACTGACCATTCCCAATGACTAAAATACAACCTGCTTATTAAGCACTGCTTTCTCAATGATAGAGAGTAAAATGCTCAATTTTCCTGGTAAATTCACATTTTTTCTGCTATACCCACATCTAATATTCGCGCTGCACACTTCAAAGCTTTAAAGCCCATTCACTAGTAGTAATTTGCCAGTCATCTACCAGCAGCTACCTGGAATATTACCTTTTTTCAGCTTTACCCAAATATAACATGTATATCATCATGCTTTAAGACTGGGTTCCCATACTTAGATCGATCCATCTGGATCGACCTAACTCCCTGGGGGTTCACGCTAAATTGCTATCAGCTCAAGAGGCTTAAATGTCTGTCACGCCTACCGAATCAGCCAGGGGTAAAGATAATTACCCCCAACAGTTTTACTAAGCATGACAGACGTTTAGTCTGGTTAGTCTGATAGCAATTTAGTGAGATAGATCTATCCAAATATCTGTGGGAATGGTCCCTAAGGCTAAATAAAACTCACCAGTAGAAATCTGCCTATCGTCTCCCAGCAAGTAGCCCTGGTCCAGCAAGGTCTTAAAGTAGCCAGAGCTGCTGACCAACACCACCTTGTGTGCGGGAAACTCCATCAGGTTCTGCGCCATTAGGGTGACATCACACAGGACGCCATTTTGGTAGAGCTCATTCAGGCAGGAGAGGACAGTGGCGGAGAATGCGCCATGGGCTGTCAGGATGAACGTGTCGGGCTCCATGCTTGAAATGCAATTGTATAGCTTGATTAAAAAAATAATATTTCAATCCCATTCACAAAGTTAAAAAAAATGACAAGAGATGTAATTTCAGTAATGAACAATCACACTATCAGTGAGTAAACTGCTAACTTGCAAAGAAATTGAAAAAGATACAAAAAATCACATGCAGTGTTTGGCAACAAACAGCATGTTCCCTTGAAATAACCTGCACTTAACTCATCTTCTTTGCCTTAAGTTAGGTAGACTCAGGCTAATTTCACTAATATCATCTGCCCTGGAAATTGCGATAAAAACTGAAAGACTTAACCTACAGACCACTGCATTACCCTGAGCGTCAGAGCAACGTAAAAGCTAGCTTGCTAAATATACCTTGTGGTGGAGTCGCTTTTACTAACTCTGAAGACCAGCGGCCATGAAAGTTTTCCATCAATCAAATAGAACTGCTCCGCAGTGAAAATGCAGTTGAATGTCATCAGACCAAAATAAAACGTAAAACAAATTTAATTCTGCTTTATTTAATTTTATTTGCTGTATTTAAGATGTAAAGTGAAAAAATAAATAATATTCTTCGGAAAGAAAAGATATATCCAATGTTTTTGTATTTTTTGCTTATCAAAGAACATTTAGTCCTGAGATATACACGTGCACAATACATGTGCTTGCCGTGTGCCAAATTTGACAGCTACACTGTATGCCCGATACCACTATAAGGGCTGCGCAATGGCTACACGAAAATAAGTTTTTACAGCAGAATGTTGCTCGTATTGTGGCACTGACCTTCGACTGCAAGATATTTTCATTTCAAACATCTAACTCCGCATCAGTCACTTTAATTGCTTATTTTCTCGCCTGCACGAGACTTCAGCGCAAGGCGGGAAAGGCAGCTCCAGGTGGCCAAACCTGTGACGTACGAGACTTATGACTTCCAAATATGGATCCAGGCGGACACAGCTGTGACGTGTGACTTCCAAATATGGAAGCGCCCCAGGCAGAATTTTGAAGAAGAACGCCCCCGAGTTGCCACTGTTCGCTAGAGTCTGGTACTGCTACTATGGGTTATATATGAAATCAAGATCAAGCTGGCAATACCGGAATCTAGAACCTAGGGTACACTGCATATGCGATGGGTAACACGTAAAAAGAGATTGGTGGTGGGATGAGGGGGGGTCCAGCTCGTTTAAGAGAGGTAGCGTCCTGAAATACGTCGATTTTATTTACACTGTGATGAATGGGGATTCTGACAAAACGGCCCAAAAGATGGCAGCATTGATTTACACCGAATCGCGTCGATATCGTCTCTGAGAAACGGCCGCGGGTGGTTAACCATCGACCTAAGTAATGTACAATTTCAGTTCTCTGCAGAAGATCCGCCTTACCTTGCACTTCGAGCATCCGTCTGCAATTTCTTCGGGAGCTGATGTATCAATTCACCTGCACTTTATTGTTTTCTACCTCATGACTTTTGTGTTTATTTGCGATTGACCTCTCTCCGATAAGTACCTTCTTCCCAGTAAGAAAGCATGTAAAGTTGGTTTTGGTTTTCAGTTTTGTTTCGCTATTTTATTGCCTAGTTGTTTTACGTAGGTTGTTTAAAAATCACATTGATTCCTTGTTTGAGATTACAAACACCCAGTTGTATTTGGATCTTTTGATTAATATTGTTTAACTTATTGTATTCATCAACTGGATTTATGCCGAAACTGAAGTACTGCTCTGATCTTGGAAGAAGTTTAAAAGTGTGTGACGTAAAGATGCTTTTTTTTTTGGGGGGGGGGGGGGGGGGTCAAACTTCTCTCCATTTGAATTATTTACTTTTCTATTTTAAATTTTATTTATTTTAAATTTTATTTATTTTCAAATTTTACTCAAATGCGTTAAAAGGTTCAATCACTTGTTATTGTTCCTTGATCTCCCTTTAAAAATAATTTCAAAAAATTATCATTTGCCTTTCTACATCTTTTATCTCTTCATATTTTTAAAATTATTTCTGCCAAAAGAAAATGATATAAAATTTGAATGATTACAAATCTCCAATTGACAGAACTAGTCTCTATGCATGAATGAACAAATTAGTCCCACAAAAATCTCACAGATATAAACAACAATTACACCTTAGGAATCTTTTTGAATAGATTTATTATTGCACCATGTTAATTGTACCCCGAGTGTCAGAGCAACGTAAAAGCTAGCTTGTTAAATATATACCTTGTGATGGAGTCGCGTATTGTTGATATGGGTTATATATGAAATCAAGATCGAGCTGGCAATACCGGAATCTAGAACCTAGGGTAGTTAATTGTGAATGATAGGCTGAATTTTCTTCCATGCTTGAAGAATCACTTTTAACGACTTGGGACCATATTTTCCATTATAATGAAGATTAAAACCATACAAATACACTGATATTTTACGTTATGAAAGTTTTGTTAATCAAAAGAAATTATTTTTAAATTATAACGAATGACATCTCATTTCAAGACAAAAATGTGAAACAACCTAAATAATACTTAGCATGATTTTCATTCTTATGACTTCCTGATTAATATAGTATTAAACAAATTTAATTTATATCAGTTTTGTGTTTTTCAGTTATATTTTAAGTACCGTATCACAGTCAACATATAACTTCATTGTCAAATCAATGTGTCTGCAGATAAGTGAATGCAATTATCTCAGCGTAAAATATTAAGTTTTTACATCATCTGTCCCTAATTCCTGGGCTGCATTGCAAATTTCCATGTGAGCCGTCAGGCGATATTTCCTTTTAAACGAAATGCCACACTTACAAATGTGTCTGGAAGCCCCGAAACTATGAGCAGTATTCTTGTGGCGAATGAGAGACCCCTTGTGCTTCGTAACAAAAGAGCAAATGTCACATGACAGTGAAAAATCCGACTGGTGAATTATGGCGTGGGTTTTCAAATGCTGCTTGGAGGTGAAGGTCTTTGAGCATACTGCACATACAAACGCCCTAGTATGAGTCTTTTTGTGCCGATTCAAATAGATTTTATTGGGGAATGTCTTGCAGCATTTATCGCACGGGAATGACTCGTTGCGCTCATGCAGGGAGGCGTGAAGTTTCCACCCTGCCACAGTCTGCACGCAACACGAGCACAGTGCACACTTCATCGCGCTTTCCTGGTGTTTCGTGCGCATGTGATCCATCAGCGCATTCTCGTAATGGAATCCCTTTTGGCACTCTTCGCATCTGTAGGGATACTCATTGGAGTGGACTCTTTTGTGTCTTCGCAGTCCGTCTCTCGTTTGATAAGACTTTCCACATGTATCACATTTCAGTAGGGCTGAAGGAAAAAGGAAAAATAATACTTGTTACACGTCTTGGAAAGAATTTAGTCAATCGTTTAATGCATTCAAAGTAATCTGATATATTAGCCATCAGCCCAAGGCTATAGGCTATTACTCATTACAATTAATGTGAATAACATGCATTAATAATTTTCCATTAATAGATTCTGTTAGTAAAATAATTCTGTCAGTAAAATTATGTCGATTCAAGACTT